CCCCAACTTCCACCCCATCCCTCCCCATCTTCCTGCTCCTCCCCATCTTCCATCCCGCCCCTCCCTCATCAACTTCCACCCTCCCTCCTATCTTCCACCCCACCCCTCCCTCCCCAACTTCCCCCTCCCCCTCCCAAACTTCCACCCAATCTTCCACCGTACCCCATCCCTCCCCAACTTCCACCCCATCCCTCCCCATCTTCCGTCCCACCCTCTATCTTCCACTCCATCCCATTTTCCACCCCATCCCTCCCCAACTTTCACCCCACCCCACCCAATCTTCCACCCAACCCCATCCCATTTTCCACCCCACCCCTCCCCATCTTCCACCCCACCCTCTATCTTCCACCCCACCCCTCCCTCCGCAACTTCCATCCCTCCCCATCTTCCTGCTCCTTCCCATCTTCCACCCCACCCTCCCCATCTTCCACCCCACCCTCCCTCCTATCTCCCTTCCCACCCCCTCCCAATCTTCCACCCCACTTCCAACCCTTCCTCCTCCTCCGGCCCTCTCCCCTGAACCCTTCGCACCCGCATCCCGCCCACATAACGCTCCATCCGCCTCCGTCCAAGCACCTCGTCACATCAGTGGCCAGCACACCACTTTAAACCCAGGTGGATGGGGCCCTAACAGACGCTGGGGTACGTTCACGCCCACGATATACCAAGATGTCATTAGAAAACAATGATACAATGATACATCCGGGGTGACGCTGCAGTTGGCGACGAAACGATCCCTGTCATGTCTCGGTGATTAAAGGAAATCACGACATTACCTCGTCATGTTTCGTCTTTGGTGTAATAACCTCTTCCTTAGAAACTGACAAGTCACCCGGATTCGATTTTGTTCACGGATAAAATAGTTTCTATTTAACGGAAAACTAATAAAAAGTTGCACTGTCATGATCCCTTGTCGTCAGTGACGACTGACAACTGATGTCAGTCCAAGTGTGTCCAACCTACGCGTGATTTAGGGTTATTTAATTTTTAAGATGACATTGCAAGCATTTTTGATCGATTAACAGGATATATTCATATAACAGTCCCCATTTCATGCTAGTGAAATATGTCACAGGTGCCCGGATGCAGGGTACTGTAGGATATTTATCTGAATGATATCCGCCTATGGTGTTATACAAGATGAATACTAGTATTGATAGTGTTCATTCAGCAAAGCGGGGCACGGGTGGCCCAGTCGTTTAAGGCGCCGCGATTCGCTGTGTAGAGTTGCGTCCCTTGGGCACGTCAGAAACCTATGATTGTGGGTTCGAATCCTGGTTCGCCCCGATTTTGTTTCTAGGTTTGTCAGCACCATACCCGTGCTCTTGGGTTTCACCGAAGTGGTAAACGTCTGAGACCTGCATCACTTCGGGCTTTCCTCCCACATTAAGCTGACACGCCGTGATATAACTGGAATACTGTTAAAAGCGGCGTTGAACCCAACTCACTCACTCATTCAGCAAATTTAACAAGACAGTACCGTCTAAGTTCAAATGTTTATTGCATGAGAGGCCATAGGCTGAAATACATGCAGTGGATATAATACAGTACAGGATAATTTGACAAATATAATCACATGTTTAATTTCTGTACAATTCTGGTCTTGAAGGCATATTCGAAATACAACATAAAAAAATTTAAATCTTGATAATTTGAGGTTGTTATTAGGCGAATAAATTGTTGGACTGACGGTCGAATTACATATTTATTTGGTATGTATTGCTTTCGAATATCTTTTAGGGATGGACATTTGAAGGTGAAATGATATCTTCGATATTGTTTAGATTACAATATGTCCATAATCTTTCAGATTGGGAATTTTGTGGTTTTCTCCCTGTATCAATATCAAACCAGGACACTCGTCCGGGTTAACGAATCTCCGGGTCAACGAGTCATGGCCTCCATCTTAAATACGTCAAAGATCAACTTTAAACCTAACATATTTCGGGTTAGTGATGAAATACGTTGTCCCAGACGACAGTGACGTTAAATCCGAGTTCATTGATAGCTATGGTGCGTTTAATTAAATGTTATTTTTGTTTGTTTGTTTGTTTGTTTGTTCGTTGTTTAACGCCGCACTCAGCAATATTCCAGCTATATGATGGCGGTCTGTAAATAATCGAGTCTTGACCAGACAATCCAGTGATTGGCATCATGAGCATCGACCCACGCAATTGACCCCCCTGTCCCGTTAGTCGCCTCTTACGACAAGCATAGTCCCTTTTATGGCAAGCATGGGTTGCTGAAGACCTATTCTACCCGAATGTTATTTTTAACACTTTCTGAAACTTCCAGTTTGATTGGCATTCTAATAGTTGTTGAGTAAATAGGAAAACGTACAACTGCATGGATAATAACAACTGATTTTGTTTTGCATTTAGCGACGTTTCGATGTGGATTCTTACACCTTTGTCTAGCTTGGAAACCAATAAACCAGAAGTTGAAGTCCATAAAGTCGTACGTTATCTTATTATCTTAAACGTTTGTTCAAGTGAGTGAGTGAGTGGGTATGGTTTTACGCCGCTTTTAGCAATATTCCAGCAAACTCACGGCGGGGGACACCAGAAATGGGCTTCACACATTGTACCCATGTCGGGAATCGAACCCGGGTCTTCGGCGTGACGAGCGAACGCTTTAACCACTAGGCTATCCGACCGCCCCGTTTGTTCAAGTACATGTGTGCCTGGTCTAGCTCTATACGTATTTCAGCTGTGTTCACGATTCATGAATATGACCTTATATCTGCTTTGATAACTTTGAGAGAAAGAGATTATTTCATGTCATTTTGATTTACGAAACGAATCAGACATTTTTATTTCCCGAACAAGGTTGATTGCCCTAAGGATTATTATTAATATTAATAATTTGTTTCGTTATTTGTTTCGTATAGATTCTGAAACGCAGCATCACGCCTCCTACTAGTGATGCACGCACGCACGCACGCACGCATTCACGCACGCGCGCACTCACGAACGCAATATAAGAAGGAGATAAATTACAGTTTGATCACGATTTTTGAACACATATAGTCATCTAAACCGCCGCATTTCGATGTGCAGAGTTAATATTCGATCCAAAAACTTAGGACATCGGGTTCGAATTCGTTTTTTGTCAGCTCGTGGTAAATTCTAAGACCTGCGTCACATCGGACTTTCCTCCCATCTCAAGCTGACACACTCAGAAGGTGAGCTACACGATAAAACCTTCATCTCGCCGATCTTGCTTTGACTGGAAGCATGAAAGGGGTCACGCCAGGGTAAATGTCCTTTTTCATGTTTCTTTTATTCTGATGAAGATATATTTGAAACACTGGCACACTGAAACACTGAACGTTAAGTGTATGCTTTACGATCGGGAGTGGTTGAAACGTTCGCTCTTCTCGCTGAAGGCCAGGTTTCGATTCCCAAAATTGGCACAATGTGTGAAGCCAATTTCTTGTATCCCCCCGCCGTGGTATTGCTGGGATTTTGCTAGAAAGGGACGTACTGCACTACACGTCTAGGTCACATGCTACAAGCCGTTGTATATATATAGAACTGAGGCATTGTTCCATGTTTGTTGTTTAACGCCACACTCAGCAATATTCCAGCTACATGACGGCGGTCTGTAAATAATCCAGTCTGGGCCATGGAATGCCGTACGGAAGCGTAGTAGGGCCACGGTGAAATGTTTTTTGTTTAAGTATCTCCTACGTAGGACTTAGTATCTCCTACGTAGGACTTAGTGATTCTAGGCCATACTAAGTCCTACGCAAGAAATAGTAAGTCCTACGTATATATAGGAGATACTAAGTCCTACGTAGGAGATACTAAGTCCTACGTAGGAGATACTAAGCCCTGCGTAGAAGATACTAAGTTCTACGTAGGAGATACTAAGTCCTACGCAGGAGATACTTAGACAAAAAAGAATTTCACCGTGGCCCCACTACGCTTCCGTAATGCCGTGATTGATGTAATGGGCAACGATCCACGTCGTCGACGTATACGTTGACACACCATCAATCCAGCCACCGAGCCCTCCCGAGATGTCGTATAGTTAATAGCAGTTGACAGTGACGGAGACGTCGTATAGTTTATGACAGTCGGAAACCACGTCGTTATCAATTTGTTATTAAAATTGGCTTAGGTCAAAGATTTGCCAATGTTCAATTGTTTATAAAATGCTTCCTAAAAACATCTATATAATAAGCCTTTAGCCACAGTCAAGCCGCATACATTTAGTAATTCCTAAACATCCGTTGAAATAAACAAAGTCTAGTTCTCATTCTCATGAAAAATCTGATAACTTTAATAACATTTTCTCTGTGGTTCGGGCGGTCGGGTAGCCTAGTGGTTAAAGCGTTCGCTCGTCACGCCGAAGACCCGGGTTCGATTCCCGACATGGGTACAAAGTGTGAAGCCCATTTCTGGTGTCCCCCGCCGTGATATTGCTGGAATATTGCTTAAAGCGGCGTAAAACCATACTCACTCACTCTCTGTGGGTCATGAATGCACTGACTCTTGTCCTTTGTCGGAGGACGGAGTTTCCGAACATACGTGGTACTGGAAACTTAGGTGTCACTGTATATCAAATATTCTTTAACTGGTTCTTATTTTTATATACAAATCGATGATCATATATTTCTCGTATATATTCCATTCTTCACTTGAATACGATTTCATAAAGTAGATACAAGTCCCATTTAACACTTTCGCCGGATCTTTCTCACCTTCGGTAATTATTTGCATCCTTGAGATAAGTACTATTTTAAAAAATATTTTTCATACTAGATCAATATCACATAAAGAGAAATGGAAAACATTTTTTTCATGAAAATCCGTACTTGATTCACCTGATTAACATCAAAAATAGCGAATGGGTGAAACTAATACACGTTTACCTCCCTTTGTCAAACAGAATACGTTAGATTGATGTCACCGGGTTTTATTCAAGCCGATTTTTAAAAGATCCGGGTTCGGCTTATAAAAGGGATGTGGACACACGGAGCGGGATAGAGTCGATGTGTGGTTACCCGAGGCTAAGGTAGAATGTCGCCACAGTATGCCCAGGTGAGCTATACTTGCTTTTGTGCGTATGTACCTCCTATGTAAATGGCCATTTGCTAGAGACATACATAAAGTATTGATTATTGAAAATATTCTGTTTTACTCATTTAAGTTTCCTATATTTTCAATACTTCTAACATGTATTTAAGTAGATCTACATGTATATAAATATCCTCATTCGCTTTGTGTAGATATAACGTTCAATTTACACTTTGTTTCTGTTTCGAAAAAGTTTGTTTTTTTTTATAAAGGGGTACTTATGCATGTATTTTATGTTATGTACAGTGTATTCATATATTACAAATGTAAACACATTATGTAAAACATTTCAGTAATACTATATCACCTTGGCATGGTGTATTGAGTTGTGATAGTTTATGAGCACTTTCTAGTACAGTAAAGTACGGTTATAACGAACTCAAAGGGACTACTAATTTTAGTTCGTTATAAGCGTAGTTCGTTATAAGCATATGTACAGCATAACTACAGCAAATAGACGGGACCAAAAAAGTAAGTTCGTTATATCCGAACGACCTAGGTTTACTCTCTTCTGCTTGTAATACTTAGATTTGATGGGTTATTTCTACGCATACAAGGAGTCATCCTCTATATGATCGATTCCCTCCTCCCCAACATCAAAGAATATTAAATGATAGATCTCTTAGAAGAGAAAATACGACCTGGGTTTACTCTCTCCTGCTTGTATTGCTTAGATTTGATGGGTTATTTCTACGCATACAAGGAGTCATCCTCTATATGACCGAGTCCCTCCTCCCCAACACCAAAGAATATTAAATGATAGATCTCTTAGAAGAGAAAATACGACTTAAGTTCACTCTCTTCTGCTTGTATTGCTTAGATTTGATGGGTTACGTTTACGCATACAGAGAGTCATCCTCTATGATCGAGGGTAATATATCTCCATTCTGTCAGACTTTAAGGACAAATTTGGAGGTTTGACACATGCCCACTAGAACATATTACATCACTTCATGAAGGTGAGGTTCTGCACCTTCCATTTATTATTATCAACATTTATACACGTCCATTCTATTATGATAATTCAAATAACCTTGTCCCATTTTCTACCATAGCTTGTTTCGATACCGATTCGAAGGACATTTTCCACTTTTAAGCTGAAATAAAAATGCATCAAAGATCTGCAGTTGAGATTCAGGAAATATTCCCAGCCCACTAAGCAGCCTCAAACCATCAAACTGAAATTTAAACTCGTCTTTATCTATTTCGCCCTGGAACGAATTAACACTTAAAAGAATTTTATCGATATATCCTCGTGAATTTATTTTACGGTCCACCGGTAAGGAGGATAGAAAATGTGCTAATTGTCTCATCCTGTCGAGATACGGCCCATGACCGCGGGTAATGGGTCGCGACTTTCTTATTTGCAAGTCTACTGATATTGCACTCAATATTAGGTCATGAACGTATATGGAAATCAACACCTCAGGTCCCACGTTTATGGTGGATGCGTATGGGATTTAGATCTATTCGATATTTAGACTTGTTTTGAAACGAGATTTTATTTAAAACGTTCGAAAACAAAACTCGGGATAGCTCTTTCGTCATTGAAAATCAGTTACCGTGTATTCCTCTGTGTTTTAAAGGCGTGGTCATAATGTCGCAAACAAGACGCTACTTTCTACTTTCCTCCCATCAATCTCACACCCGTTATATAACTGAACTATTGTAAATGCTACACACTCCCTCACTCACGCCGAAGGCCCGGGTTCGATTCCCATCATGGGTTCAATGTGGGAAGCCCATTTCTGGTATCCCCCTCCATGATGTTGTTGGAATGAGGCGAAAAACCATACTCACTTTCTTCAGAATTCTGAATAAATTGACGCTTAGTATTCGTTGTGACAAGGAATTTATTCTACCTTAATGCAAATACGGTAAACTACGGTTATAACGAACTCAAAGGGACCACTAATTTTAGTTCGTAATAACCTTAGTTCCTTATAAGCATATATACAGCATATATACAACAAATGGTCTGGAGTATGAAAAAAGTTCGATATATTGGTGACTTCGTTATAAGAGTGTTCCTTATAAACGTAGTTTACTGTATGCGCTTTGTAACTTATGTGCATGCCTTTCAGATTAAACAAACATTTTTTCTAAATTGTATTGTGTTATTTTCGTCATTGTATATTCAGTTCACGTGCATCCTTCTGTGTTTGAGATGTGTGGCCATTGTTAATGGTCATGGTCATGTATTTGACATAGATATCGAAAATAAATATGGTTCCACGTATTTACAAAAACTGTCTGTAGCTGTCATTGAACCATTAGCAAGTCTTCCAATATCGCAAGATAACAGTCACCTCTATTGTCACATCGAAATATATCATTCATTCATTCACTTAACGACGCACTCAGCAGTATTCCAGTTATAGCACGACGGTCTCTTCATAATAGAGTCTGGACCAGACAATCCAGTGATTGACATCATGAACATCTATCTACGCATTCATCAACCAAGCCAGCGAGCCTGAAAACCCATTCCCGTTAGTCGACTCTTACGGCAAGGATGACTTGCACCCAACGTATTTCATGACGACTTCATGGTTTTAAATAAAAAAATATATGTGTCAATCATAAATGAAACGACTAGTTTACTACATCGAAATAACGTTAGAAAACTTTGCTTCAGATGCTCAGCTTGGTTTTTGCTCTCACGTGGATGTCAACGACAACACGCGCCAGCTACGGCCCCTTTCAACGTTACGCCACACGGTCCTATGGGCCTCCCGTGTACCCTCCCTACAGAACCTACTACAACCCTCTGTCAAACTGTCTGAAGATGGTGTACGGCAAGGATATGTTCTTTCGCCTTCCCTTTTCCTCTATGTCTCCGTTAAAAACCTTGGACGACTCCAACGCCCAGGGCAGCGTGAGGAGAAGCTATGGAGATATATTTATGACCCTTGGTCAACTGAAGGAGTCCTTAGGGATCTCGTCATCTGACCATATCAACTGGAAGGATGGAGTTCACTCCCCTGACAACAGGCCCGCAACAAGCGCCAGCATCATCGGTAGAAACGGGTTGCAGATCAACTCTGATGTGTGTTGTTCAACGTAAGTAGTGTTTCGCAGCCATCTAGATTTGTCCAGTTGTGATTGGTCTGCACACTGACCCGTGAAGATCCGGGGTAGAATAGTTCTTCAGCAACCCATGCTTGCCGTAAAAGGCGACTATGCTTGTCGTAAGAGGCGACTAATGGGATCGGATGGTCAGGCTCGCTGACTTGGTTGATGCATGTCATCGTATCCCAATTGCGTGGACCGATGCTCAAGATGTCAATCACTGTATTGTCTGGCCCAGACTGGATTATTTACAGACCGCCGTCGTATAGCTGGAATATTGCTGAGTGTGGCATTAAACAACAAAACAAACATACTATGGCTACTGGTACTACTTCTAATACTTGTATGGCTTAGCTTGTTTGTTGTTTAACGCCGCACTCAACAATATCCCAGCTGTATGACGGCTTGTAAATAATCGAGTCTGGACCTTGTGATTGACATCATGAGCATCGATCTACACATTTGGTGTACGATGACACGCATCAACCATGCCAGCGAGCCTGCCCTCCCGATTCCGTTAGTCGTCTGTTACGACACACTAACACAACACAAACTACTACTACTACTACTACTACTACTACTACTACTGTCACTGTTCGATTCCCCCATTTCTCGTGTCCCCTGCCGCAATGTTGCTGGGATATTGCTACATGCAGCGTAAAACCTTACTCACTCACTTTAGAATTCTGGACAAAGTGACATTTGCTCTGCGAGGTGACGAGATATTCATTCTACCTTAATGAGTGAGTGAGTGAGTGAGTGAGTATGGTTTAACGCCGCTTTTAGCAATATTCCAGCAATATCACGGCGGCGGAAACCAGAAATAGGCTTCACATATTGTACCCATGTCGGGAATCGAATCCGGGTCTCTGGCGTGTCGAGCGAACGCTTTAACCACTAGACTACCCGACCGCCCCCTACCTTAATGCATATACGCTTTGTAAACTTATGTTCATGCCTTTCAGATTTAACAAACATTTTTATTCATTGTATTCCTAGGAATGAGGTGTTCTTCATCAACGATACCTTGGTGGATGTGGAGAATATCACAAGGAAGATTGCCCAGCTGAATAGGATTGGGGCATACCAGTTTATACGCCATGGATTTTGTGCGTGAGTATACTCCGATAATACGTAAAGGAAGTTATCGAGCGGCGCTCAAAGGCTGGAAGACCTAAAGTAACACATGACCCAATACTTCACCATATAATTCTCTTTATGAACAGGACATCATTATTTTTACTACACATAATCCATCTTGATTAAAAACATCTCACAAACACGGCAGGATTTGACTAAACATTGGAGTCTCCCGTGTCTTTTATCACACAGTAAATACTGGAGGGGAGTTGACGTCTTGCCTATTGACTTCTTGTTTTTTCTAAACACTTCGCGCAAGGACTTGTGCGTAAAACACCCATTTTGGAGTAAATGAATTACAAAGACATTCGGATCATGGTTACTGTGTTGTTTCCACTTGAATGCATTTATGCGCCCTTTTTTGCAGAGATATTACTGATGCGACGTTATATTTTAGCTCACTCACTCAATTCCCATCCACCCACCCGTCCACTCACTCACTCACCCACCCACCCACCCACCCACCCACCCACACACACACTCACTCACTCACTCTAAATATGACCGCCTCCGTGGTCCTCCGCCCGGAGAGCTGAAGGTCACGTCACACCAAAAGACGTTAAAAGATGGTACTTGTTGTTACCCTGTCTGGCGCTCGGCATTAAGGGGCTAAGACAAGGACTGGTCGGCTCGGAGTCAAAATACTGTGTCTGAGTGGGGTATTCATGTTAAACTGCGACATGGTATCCCAGTGTGCTAGCACTATAAATCGGCATCAGTCCGGACTAGTACAAGCAGCCACACAAACACACACACGTGCATGCACGTCGCTATATAAGTGCAATAATCTTGGACGCGACGTAAACCCAATTTCACCTCACCTCACCTCACTCTAAATATCCGAAAACTTGGGTTTCCGGGTTAAGTGGAGGATCCGGACCCGAAGGTTTCAATGTCTGTCCATATATGCGTACACCTGTATGAGATCAATTTTAACTTTCTTCTTCAATGTTCATACATTCCTGTCATATATAAAGGAACATGTTCACATACGTCAAGGTGTGATTTCTTTCTCCACTGTTTCAGGTTTAAGGGGGCGTGTCAGGGCGAGTGTCTGCAGCACTACATCAACCTACCGCTGGCTGTTGATGAACCGGGGGCCGGTTTACCAATCATGTTCCGCTTTTTCAAGGTTCCCGGATACTGCTCGTGTCGAGTAATTGGATTTTAAAACCAAGAACGATTTTGCAAATTTAGTTTTCAAATAATATGATGATCTCTTTCCCTTTTTAACGAGTTAGTATATGCGATTCGCCTACGTGTTTCATACTTAACAAGTTTTAGATTCGAATTCTTTACATAGAACAGAGAAGTATGTTTCATTTAACCCTCAACAAACTGAGGCAGAGGACTATCGCCACGTCACATCTTTTGTTTCACATATTCCATTGGCCAGAGAGCAATACCATCTCAGCGTCACGCCGTCCCTCAGAGCATATCATGAAGACTGGCTCGCGGCTGTCTTTGCACTGCGATTTACATATACATACTACTCTTTTGAGCAGTATAATTTTTGTCGCTTCCCATGTTATGGGTGCTGTTTTCTGTACGTCCTAAAGCACAGTGTAGAGTTACAAATGTAATAATTTAAAATAGTTTTTTTTTCAATATTCAATAAAACTCTGATAAAAATAGATTATTTTACGTCCGCTTCCTCGGCCTTGCCAGAAGGTTGAAGCGCTTGGTCTGCACGTGAAGTTCATCCAACTGTGTCAGCTGGCTACCTCGTCACCCCACGATTGCATGTGGACACACGAATTAGCTGTGCAGAATTGCGTCCCTTTGATGTGCCAGGATCCGATTCACCGGCCGAGTCAACTGTCAGATCACACACTTCCTACAAATGTTTTTTTCCCCTAATCTGTCAAGAAATGTGCAGATCTATAATGCTAGGAGCGTATTTTTATACAGAATCATGACGAACATAAATTTGAAATTGGTGATTTCGGAAAGTCCCTTCATTTTTAAAAAAAGTGTATATGTCGCCAATCAAAGGTCTTCGCCGAATTTCTAACACGGCCTATTCTGCATTTCCTTCGACGATTAATTTGCAGCATTCTTACATCAACAAACAGCCATATCTACAATATGTTTTTTATATTCTCAAAGCCTTTTAGAATTGATTCATGTAGACTTGATTCATGACTTATTTATAGCTTAGCACTTGTGGATATTGGAAGAAAACTCTGACATGACCATATTTTCCTACCTGATTTATGCTGTGCATGGCGTTGTATATAGGTTATACTCAATCGCATTTATTTAATATTCGAAACAGTCAAGTTGCATGACTATAAACAGGGTAAATATGATTTACCGAATTCGACGAAATAAGCGTCCAGGGCGCTCTCAAAATAGAAATAGGGGGCTCTTATTAGAATATTATTTTGGTGGGGAAAAAAAACAGAGTTGAAAAATAAATTTCGTGGTTTATGCTGACAGCCTGAAACATTTATATACGACAGATATATTTTTCTAGAATTTAATTGCCCATAATTAAGGGTGCATATAACACACGAGTGCATATTATACGCGAATAAGTCTTGTGTACATTGATCAATCGGAAGGGGTGCTAATTGTGATTGTTCACTAGCCAATAAATTAACATATATTACCGTGCGCGCTTATTAGGGCGGGGCGCTTATTACGTCGAATACGGTATGTTATTTTGTATAAATTCATAAGTCTCGTGGAATCATGTTGTGTGTAGGAATTACCTATATTGTTTTGTATTTATATATAATATATATATTCCGTCTGTGATAATAAATCATTTTTATTTAATTTAATGTTGATTGTTAGTTTTCTTTTTAGTTAACATATTGAATGCTAGAAATGTTACGTGAACCCATCTGTAAATTGACAACCGCTTTGCCAGTATGAACGAGTGCAACTACGTTTTCTGACGTGTAACTTATTGTGCTTTATTTGTTATTGCTTAGGGGAAAGGGCAAGGTGGGATAGGGCCCTTGTTAACCCACGGGATCTGCATAACTATAGTGAGTGAGTTGGATTTTACGCCGCTTTTAGCAATATTCCAGCAATATCACGGGGAGGGGCACCAGAAATGGGCTTTACCCATAGTACCAACGTGGGGACTCGAACCACAGCCTTCAGCGTGACGAGTGACCGCTTTAACCGCTAGGCTACCCACCGTTCCTGCATGATTATATAACTGAGAAAAACTTTTAGAAATTGGTATATCAAAGTGTCGAATTTTACGTTTATTTCGAAATTGAGTTCTTGGATTCATTCGCACAGTGTTCACATCGGTTTTTGTAGGTTTACACAGGTACAGTCGCCCTTCTTAAAACTGTCCCATCACGAAACTTCTCGAACGACCAGGGACCCGTTCCACAAAGAGATCTTAGCGCTATGACTATCGTAAGCCAGTGTTAAAGTATTGGGAGTTACGATCACCTTAGCGCTAAGATGGCTTTGTTGAACGGGGTCCAGGCCTGCCGCTAAAACTTAGCCACAGGAGTTCTCGACATTTTACGAACGCTTCAATCATTTGCTGTCTATGATAATCACTACAAATAAACCTACAATGTTCAATCTCATAACAACAGGCCACAATGAAACAAACCATATGCCGATAGTGTGAGTGACAGGAGTAAAACATTATGCACTAACTCAGCTTTGCATTGAAAAACTTGGTAAATGTCAAAATTACCAGTCGTATATTTTTTTGTCACAAAGTTCATAAGTACCCCAAACTAAACGTTTGTACATAAGGACGGGTAGCCTAGTGGTTAAAGCGTTCGCTCGTCACGCCGAAGACCCGGGTTCGATTCCCGACATGGGTCAATGTGTGAAGCCCTTTTCTGGTGTCCCCCGCCGTGATATTGCTGGAATATTGCTAAAAGCGGCGTAAAACCATACACACTCACTCACTCACTCTAAGGGAGGGTAATAAAAGTAATACATATATTTGGGGAGGGTCGTGAAAAGAATGTACATCTTATTACAAAGTGCTTTTGCATTTTGTCATTTCGCGGAGGGTCATGAAAAATATAGGACATGGGGAGGGTCTTCCGAAAATATGACAAGCGTTAGGGAAGGGTTATTATTTTCAGTACATGATTGCAACGAAAAAAATTTAAAAACATCCCACCCACCCACCCAAAATGTGTCCCATATATATGTGCCCCCAAAACGTGACAGGCAAAATTGGTATTGAAGAATCACGACACATATTCAACACTGTAGTTCACAGCATTGTGAACTTTGAAAACCACTGAACTGTGACATTGGATCGATCCTTTAATCACACCACTATTTACCGTGATCACGATCAATGTAAGGAACCTAATAGTTATCTCCCTTCGATAATAGCACGCGCTGTATTTGTTGTGATGTTGCCAAGCTGTGGACTGTGCAACTCGAGTCTTGAAAACGGTTCACGCAGCGGAGGTCGCTCGCGGGTTGGTAGCATATGATAGATTAACCTATGTTGAGTTGACATGACTGCAGATTTGATTGACATTATTCAGCGGAGGGCCAGTCTGATGACGTGAGGTGATATGACGCTATCATTACTGAAATCAAAGCTGATCTCTTTCCATACATTGTAACATTTGTAGATTTACGGGTGTGATACTGGATATATTCCACACTGATTGGCCTAGGATAGCATCAAGGAGGTCAACCACTGGTGAGTTTAGCGGTGTTGACTTGACTCTTATCTATTGACAGACGTCGATTGTTGATTAATTTCTTGATTTCAAACGTTATATATCAATGTGTCTATTAAATCTATAAATGACTGCTGATAATATAAATTATTCTTATCCTTTATTAAAACTTTTTTTAGGAAGTATATTTGTACTTGTTTATGAGATGAAATGTCCTTAACTTTTTAACAGTTGCCTTGTCAATGAATAATAAGCTGGTTCTGATTGTGGTCAGTATTGGCAAATAAGGGCAACTAGTTAATTATTAAGAGAATTGTCCTCCATTTCTCCATTGGTATATACATGTAAGTGAGTGTGTATTCACTTCTTAATTCTGTCCTTGCCATTAGGACACACTTTTCTACTTTGATAAACTTTGGTAAGCTGAAATATACATTAATTAGCTGTGTCAACCTAATACTTGTTTTATATTGACATAAAATTATTTGCGTTAGGATGAGGGGGAAAAAAAGTAGCAAAATTTATGTATTTTTTTACAGTTACACTGAGCTGCAGATAAGCTGCGTATTTGCGTAAAATACCCCCAAAATATTCAAAACCCAATTACTTTCAATTAACTTGCGTACAGAAACGCATGCATTAAATGAAAAACTCAAATGTATAAAAACAGTATGCACAAATACCCATGAAGTTTTTTCAGCATGCATACAATGGAGCTAATTTCTGAAGCACAATTACGATATATATCTATTTTATATATATCTATTTCATTTTTTTTGAAATCTCAAAATGTTAGCTCATTTTCGGAAAAACCCAATAGAGTGATTAATAGATGAGTGAAAAAATATTGGTTACCCAATGAAAAATGTAATAACCCAATTAAAATAGAAACCCACGAGTAAAAACTCAATTGCTTAAAAAGTTACCTGGAGCTCTGAGTAACAGGTCAATGGATTTTACTTTTGTCAGAGCAGGTTTTGTTCTTATTAAGACATGTTTGGAGTACAGTCAATACAAACAATGCATTTACAATTATTATTTAAAAAGTTAACAGTCACCCTTTTTATATTTTAATCCTTAAAAGATCAACCTTTTAGGTAAATAAACATAAATGCAATTTAACCTACTATTTTTTCTGATTTTGGTTATTGGCTGTGGTCAAACAAATCTGTAAACTAAAAAGTTTAATAATGTCACCGTATACAAATTGGTTTAAGAGAGAATCTGATAAAGATATACCGTAATCTATTTACATTTTAATGACTCTGACCCTGAAGCTCACGTGAAGCTGACACATCAATAACACATGTCAGACCCTCTACAAATGGCAATCGTTTTGTCGCTTTGCTTTAGGGCATTTCATATTTTTTGGCATGCTATGTTCAGTTCAGATTCCTTATTTTTACAGTAACACACTTCCATTCTGACTTTTTGAAGCTACCTGTTCTAATACCCATACTGTTTTGCATTTTTTTATATTGCTTTCATTTAGAACAGTTGTGAATTTAGGTTTGAGTGGTTGGGAAATTGAAATATAAATTATGATAAAAATTTGACTTACCTACCCATTAATGTGTTTAAATGAGAAACAAGAAAAATTTATATGGCCTAATATTAAGTGAAAAATTGAACAAAGTAATATGTTAGTTGGCGTACTCTTAATTTAAAACTTTATAGATGAATTTTACAATTAATGTTATATAGTCTGTATTTTTTATTAGTCACAATATGCTTGAAATACTGAAAATGTGTCTTTAAGATTCACTCACTCACTATTTCGTATATTAAACTTAACGTAGTTTAATGAAAGACTAATGACACTCAGATGAACAGAAATAAATAGTTGAAGTATACTAATTTCTTTTTACATGACCACTTGCAAACAACGTTTTCTGTATGTACATGTTTCATTGTGAAAATACAAAGTATGTTGAAAGAAATATTTGGCCCAATCTCATTAATATCAGGTATTTGACCCTGACACGATACATCTTCTCGAGGATCTGACAAACATGCTGTAGGTTCTCTTAAGGCCGAAATATAAACGTTTTAGATTTTCATACACTTTTATTTGGGCATGTTATTTTTTTAGAATTTTTGTTTGTTTTAAACTAGCTTTTCAACATGTTCAAGGCATTCCCATTAGGTTTGAATGTGTGGCAGGACTGTTTGGGTGGTGTGTGTCACTAAGTATAGAAAGAGTGAGTGAGTATTGTTCTACGTCGCTTTTAGCAATATTCCAGCAATAGAATTGAACCCGGATGAGTGAAAACTTTTGCCTTAAGTCTACTGAGTTGTTTTAGCATAAGACGCTGTAAAGAGGGTGGACGATCTCAAACAGTCGGTGCTTCATTTATCAAGGACCAATCGAAGAAATATTTTGCTCATTTATTCCTGATAGAAAAAAACACATTACAACGTAAAAATATCCTGATGTTTTGAATCATACCAAGGTTAAGACCAAAGCGACCACAAAATTTGTAAATTATCTTGGACTTATTTGAAATATACACAATGCCTACTCGTTAAACAGTTATTGAGAGTTTCATTTTGGGGTGTCCTTCGACTATGCGCCTGTCGACTGGGTTTGACAGTAGCATTGAGAGCATTAACCACTAGGCTACCCCACCGCCCCAGGTAGAGAAGGAAGAGAGAGCGCCTAGCAGAGTATAGAGTCAGTATTGTGGATTGGGATGTAAATCCAATATTTCATTATTATGTCCTAAAGTTTGCCTTGAATAAACAGAAGCCATAGCTATTATTGAACATGACTCCTTCATAATAGAATTAAATCAATATTGCTATGGAGCTAGACTTAACAAAGTGTTCATTCTAAATAAAGTTATATTGTGTTCAAATAGGCATCCATAATGAGGTAACAAGGTACAAAAGATTTATGATTTTGGGGAAAGGTTTCAGTAATTATATAAATAGCCTAATACTGAAATATTCGACTTGGCAATTACTGATATGTTGAAGTAAGATGTCTGTCATTGCATGAAAGGATGATGGCTGTTGCCTTGAAGTAGACAACATGGTGACAAAAGGATATCGGCGAGGATCGATATCGCCAATGCAATGTGCATGTATCATTGTGTGTCTGAAGCCAATAATAGCTGATACATATCTCAAACGACCGTGTCATCAGAGACTGGGCCGTAATAATAAGATAATCTTCACAGCTAAGTGATGTCAGTTAAGAATGGGATCAAGGGTCATTGAGGCTGTTTTGTGTGACTGTCATGCTTGATTAAATTCCCCTGGGTACAGCTTGAGTGAACATCTTGGCATCTAAAGTGAATTCCTTTGATATTTTCTCTTGAAAAGAGTGTTATTATTACAAGAGTGAGTGAGTGAGTTTGGTGTTACACTAGGGCTGGGACAAGTCAAAATTTACTACCCGGGTATCCACCCCCCTATTACCCAACCCTAACCGGGTACCCACTGTAGGTCTCAAGAGGTAGGTACAAAATGTCCGATTGGGAATAGTTTTACCATACTCCTGGCAAAATAAATTTAGATACACATATAATCCGATCTGGTCATGCATACACTGAAGTTGACTGAAGTTATATCATTATGCAAACATATAAAGTCAGAAGGAATGTGTGTATACTCAAAAACAAATTTGTCACTTTTAGTGTAACCATAGAGTTCTAAATAATTTTTGCCATTAAACTATAATCACGTGACTGACCACGGGTCCGGGTAGTCCTGTGGGTACCCAGGTCCTACTCAGTACACACCCGACACAGGTACCCGAAATACCCGTCCCAGCCCTATTTTACGCCGCTTTTAGCAATATTCAAGCAATATCACAGCGGGGGACACCAGAAATGGGCTTCAAACATTGTACCCATGTCAGCAATCCAACCCAGGTCTTCGGCGTGACGAGCAAATGCTTTAACCACTAGGCTACCCGACCGTCTCTTATTACAAGAGAAATGCTTTTGTAGGATGTTTATGGGTCTTGTGAAAAGATTGATGACAGTAAGAAACTGTGTATATTTAGTTTGCGGGCTGAGAACTAATTTAGTTTGTGATTAAGACTGATTTCAGTTGTCAGTAAATCAAGTAATTTATTCAGATATTATTATATTATTCATATTTTTGTGTGTGAGAAATATTAATGATTTCTGCAGAATTTAGACCATTCTACTTCATATGAAGTGTATTGTCTTTCAGATTAAAATTCTTTTAAGTGTGAGTGTACTTGTGTGACACTAATTTAACTTAATGTTTTAACTAAATTGATTGTATTACAATTGTGATACTTTATTCGACGTAATAAGTGCCCCGCTCTAATAAGCGCCCACGGCGATATTTGCGAATATATTGGCTAGTGAACAATCCCAATTAGCACCTCTTCCGATTGATCAATGTTCACAAGACTTATTTATTTATTTGCGTATTATACGCACCCGTGTGTTATATGCAACCTTAATTATGGGCAATTAAATTCTGGGAAAATATATCTGTCGTACATGAACACGAAATTTATCTTTCAACTCTGTTTTTTTTCACCAAAATAATATTTTAATAAGAGACCCTAATTCTAATTTTAAGAGCGCCCTGGGCGCTTATTACGTCAAATACGGTATATGTTTATGATTTGGTTGCTGACTTGACAGCTTGGTCATCTCATCATGGACCCCCCATATAGGTTGTGAACCTGATGTATACTACAAAAAAACCAAGTTACAGAACATCCACAATTAGAAGGCCGTGTGTTGCAATATCCACTAGCCATGACAGAGTAACTATAGCCATATGAAAAAAATCCTGTGTTCTTTAACTTATGTTGAGTAATATATATTTCAGCTGGTCGTTTTTTTGGTGTACGGATTCAACAAATAACATGCTTTCATCTTACTGGCCACGTCTTAGATGTTTCATTAGTAGGGTTGTACAGAGATCTATACAGAAAGCTTCAAGCAGATCATCCTTGTATACAATCCAGCTTAGGCTAAAAAAAATAAAAGAATTTGTTCTCAGGCAATGTTTTTTGAAAATATAGTGCGGGCGGGCGGTGTCTTTTTTTGGTTGGATTGTTCAAACTAGTATGTAACCAATAAACAGTTGTGTACAATCAACCTGGGAAAGGGCCTCCCTACATAAATGTATTCCTTAATGAGTAAAATACTGGGATACAGTATTTGACTTCCATAAAACTTGAAATATTTAAGAATTTTATAATTTAAAAAAATAAATAAAAACGAAACATGTGGCAAACTTATGATGATGCGGGCGGTGCCTGAGAACCAAGAATATTATTTTTTTTAGCCTTAGGCACTTACAGTCAGCTTTACAATCAATCAAATTAAAATCAGATCTTTTACTCTATGATCATACCTTTCTGTGTGAAGATCAAAGGACATCTCCATAGTAGATAGCGTCAGGTGATGATGATGATGATGATGATGATGATGATGATGATGATGATGATGATGAAAGGGTTTAACGTCACATCCAAGATTATTGAACTTATATAGTGACGTGCATGCACACGTGTGTGTGTGTGTGTGGCTGCTTGTACTAGTCCGGACTGATGCCGATTTATAGTGCTAGCCCACTGAGATACCATGCCGCAGTTTCACATGAATACCCCACTTAGACACAGTATACTGACTCTGAGCTGACCTGTCCTTGTTTAAGCCCCTTAGTGCCGAGCGCCAGACAGGGTAACAACAAGTACCATCTGTTTACGTCTTTTGGTATGGCGCGGCCGGGGATGGAACCCCGGACCTTCCGCTCTCCGATCAGAAAGGGGCAGGTGAACATTCTAATAAGCTTTCTGTGTCGAGGTTTCTAAATTCTTAGTACAGGTGAGTGAAGCATTCAGACAAGCATCTGATTTCTGTATTTTTTAAAAACAAACATAATCAGGGAGTTCTGAATGCAAAATATTGAAGCCTCACTATAATTTTGTTGTGGATATGTTATACATCCTGTTGTTTTGGAGCGCCATGGTATCTACATCAAACGTGTGTACTATTGATGGTTTGTTTGTGTTCTGTGGTGTTCTTCCTCAGCTAAGATTGAAATTTCTGAATCAAGGTCGAATAGAAATGAAGCTGAGCTATTTTAGAAAGCAGATATCTGATTGGTTCAAGAACCCATGCTTCCTCCATTAAATTTGGCTATCTAACTAAGCTCATGGTTCACCTGACACAACTCCCTATGGTAGTGCCCTCAGTCATCGTCACACAGGACCCCATGAAAATCCGGGGTAGAATAGGTCTTCAGCAACCCATGCTTGCTGTAAAAGGTGACTATGCTTGTCGTAAGAGGCGACTAACGGGATCGGGTGGTCAGGCTCGCTGCCTTGGTTGATACATGTTATCGTATCCCAATTGCGTGGATGGATGCTCATGATGTCGATCACTGGATTGTCTGGTCCAGACTCGATTATTTACAGACCGCCGTCATATAGCTGGAATATTGCTGAGTACGGCGTAAAACAACAAACAAAAACATCTTCATGCAGGGAGGTATCGTATCGGAGTAAAGATCTGATTTTCATGAGATTGGTTTACAATAACCCTATCACAGTCATATTCCACTTGTACAGACCCATCTAAAGGGTTTGCAATAATTGTATTGCTACGGTCACTTTGTGTATATGGGCCCACGTTTATATTCACACACGCAAGAGTAATAAGTAACAACGCACTATTCAAGGTATCAGTGTATTACCTGTCGATGTTCGTCTGTTGTTTCATGACGCACACAGCAATATTTCAGCTATATGATGGCGGTCTGTAAATAATTGAGTCTGGACCAGACAATCCAGTGATTGACATCATGATCTGCATCAATATCGATCTACACAACTGGGATACGATGACATGCATGAACCAAGTCAGCAAGCCTGACCACCCGATCCCGTTAGTCCCCTCTTACGACAAGCATAGTCACCCCTTACGGCAAGCCTGGGTTGCTGGAGACCTGTTCTACACTGGATCTTCACGGGTCCACAATAATTGTGGTGTATTTAGTCAAGTAAATTGAAGGCAACATGATAGGTAGGAATAAAATGATGAGAGGTGGGGTGTTTGGTAGTGAGGCGAAAAGGGATCAAATGTTATAATACATTATATAATACTTCCTCATCAATTATGACCTCCCTAATTCATGATTAATGTATCTAAGCAATACAAGTTTTCTCTTCTGTTCAGTCGCAGGCGACCATGACCTCAGTCCTGCTCTTTAGCGCCCTGAACGTCCATGTGCCTGTGTCAGTAAGTGAAAGGGGAAACGTCTTTGTAATATGACATGCTAAGATTTCAGAGTGAGTGTTGGTGATCTGTAGGGTTGAGAAATCAACACTTGCCAGGTCTCTGTGACCAAGTAGCAACGTGTAGATAGAAAGCATTGATTGCAGGGTCTTTGTCTTTGTTGTATTTGCCTGTTTGAAATGAACTAGGTGTCTTTGCCCAGGGTGACACCACATGTTTCGACACTTGTGTTTCGGGTGTATGTAAGTATTCGTGTTTCCACCATCTAGTCATCTACCATTACTGTTGTATGCGGGGAACTAAACATGAGTCTCTTGATATTGATAAAATAATTCAGATAATAAATATAGGGAACTAAATGTGAATCTCTTCTTAAAAAGATGAAGAAATGTAAATATGACAAAATTAACAAAATATGATTCTCAAAATCTGTTGCTATCAAGCCTATCAGTCTAGCCCTATTTTAGCTAGCAGTGTTGCGTCCTATTGCGACAGCCTATCTTAACTAATGTGTTCTACTAGTTCCTACTTGACGAGCTATAAAACGAAATTGTTGAATGTAGGTCCTATCGTGATGACATATCATGCCAATCTGAACCTAACTCAAGTAAGTCCGATTTACCTCGTCGTGCACATGCTCCGACAGCATGTGCCCTGTCATACTTTTGTTTTCTCCGTGAAGCAAGTTGCGTTCAGGCTGTGTTCCAGCTATCTGTTCAAGCTTCACAGGGTGTATCTACTGTACACTAGGGGTAGTGACAACACTGTAAAGACCTGTCAACATTGTTGGTCCCAAGGCTGAATAACAACCCGATCACTAGCGGGATACGATCTCAGCACCTTGCGCTTGCTAGCCTGGCGCTTTTGATTGCTTGCCTGGTCCGACCCACATGAATTACCGTATTCAATGTAATAAGCGCCCAGGGCACTCTCAAAATTAGAAATAGGGGGCTCTTATTAGAATATTATTTTGGTGAAAAAAAAAAAAATTAGTGGTTTATGCTGACAGCCTGAAATGTTTATGTACGGCTGATATATTTTTCCAGAATTTAATTGCCCATAACTAAGGGTGCATATAACACACGAGTGTGTATTGTACGTGAATAAATAAGTCTTGTGTACATTGATCAATCCGAAAGGGTGCTAATTGGGATTGCTCACTAGCCAATATATTAGCAAATATCGCCGTGGGCGCTTATTAGAGCAGGGCGCTGATTACGTCAAATACGGTATTTGTTCATCTGTTTTTCAATCCCAGCTAGTACCGGTATATGGTCTCTGTCCCAGCCCAGCTTCATAATTCCAAATTGTTGGTACCTTATCAAGCTCCAGATGACTTTTTGAGCAATTGAGTTTTTACTCGAAGGTTTCGATTTTTATTGGGTTATTACATTTTTTATTGGGTAACCAATATTTTTTCACTCATCTATTCATCACTCTATTGGTTTTTCCCCAAAATGAGTTAACATTTTGATATTTAAAAAAAAAATTAATAATGTTTTAGATATATATAAAGGCTCTTACTATAGGCTTGACTCGGAAAGTAAATTAGCTCGTAATTGTGTTTTGGATATTAGTTCCATTGTACGCATGCTGAAAAAGCTTCATTGGGTATTTTGAGTTTTTTCATTTAATGCATGCGTTTCTGTACGCAAGTTAATTGAAAGTAATTGGGTTTTGAATATTTTGGAGAGGTATTTTACGCATATACACAGCTTATCTGTAACTCTTCCTTATTGCTGTTTCCTTATTGTGACTAATTAATGACTTTAATGATGATGGGGGGCACAGGTGGCCCAGTCGTCTAAGGCGCCGCGATTCGCTGTGCAGAGTTGCGTCCCTTGGGCACGCCAGAAACCTATGATTGTGGGTTTGAATCCCGGTTCGCCCCGATTATGTTTCTAGGTTTATCAGCACCATACCCGTGCTCGTGGGTCTCAGCGAAGTGGTAAACGTCTGAGACCTGCATCACTTCGGGCTTTCCTCCCACATTTAACTGACACGCCGTGATATAACTAGAATACTGTTAAAAGCTCACTCACTTAAATACCCTTATAATTACAAGCAAAACATTGCTCACCAATGTGATGTTTGTTTGTTATATAACGCTGTACTCAGCAATATTCCAGGTATATGACAGCGGTGTGTAAATAATCTGGTCGGGACCAGACAATCCAATGATTAACATCATGAGCATCGATCTACACAACTGGGATATGAAGACATGCATCAACCAAGTCAACGAGCCTGACCACCCGATACCAATAGTTGCCTCTTACGACAAGCATTGGTTGCTGGAGAATTCTAACCCAGATATTCACGGGTTACGCCTATAACGCCACACATAATCATTATAGACCCGTGAAGATCTGGGGTAGAAGAGATCTTCAGTAACCCATGCTTGCCGTAAAAGGTGACTATGCTTTTGGTATCAGTTGGTCAGGATTGCTGACTTGGTCCATGCATGTCATCATATCCCAATTTCGTAAATTGATGCTCATGATGTCATTCGCTGGATTGTCTGTACAGACTCAGTTATTTACAGACCGCTGTCATATAGCTGGAATATAGCTGAGTGTGACGTTAAACAAAAAACCCAACAAATTATGACAAGCATGGGTTGATGAAGATCAATTCTAACCGGGATCTTCATGGGTCTCACCCTTGTAGTGAAAGACGTGAAGGATAGTAACATTGTTATTCCTTGTTTTCAGGCAGTTTCTGGAGTGTCTTCGTATGATTGGCTGATTTCCTCAGCACCTCTGTGTCAACATGGGTTGTGGATCATCTACTTCAACATCACCAGATTACCCAAACAATGATTATCATGATAATAACGGAAGCGATGAACGAGGCAACAGACAGGATCACCATGACAACAGACAGGATCACCATGACGACAGACAGGATCACCATGACAACAGACAGGATCACCATGACAACAGACAGGATCACCATGGCGACATAGATCAACCAGACACCGAGGATAATGAAACAAGGATAACTGTTGACCATGAACCCGAACCCGAACCAGACATTCCTGAAGCTCGAGACAACGAAGTTGTTAGAAGCAATCGTCGTCATAGCGATGTCGTTGACAATGACGGTTCAGGTCTCAAGTATGCAACTGTAGATTTCCGGACAGCTAAGAGTCCTGGCTATCACGACAGTGAGCCAAGTGTTGACAGCGGTGAAAGGTGGACTGATGAAGAATTCCCTCTTCACGTTGCCATACAGGAACATAGGCAGAAGAACTTGGGCTGGAAAAGGGCATCGGTGAGTTGTCAGCTTGCTTTGTGTGTTATCAATGACCGATCTCTTATTTTCTTGGGGCTGCCAGGGATTTATGGTGAAGACAGAATATTTTGGGGGTCACTGCTTCAAGACGTACAATCTTTTTCTTTGTAATGATGAACTAAAGAATATATTTTTTCCCCCTTTTTGGGGGGATTTTTCAAATTGTTCCATCCGAAAAAAGTATCCGACAATACACAGTAGTGCTACCACATAACCCTAGTTTTGGTTATCATTATTTTGAAGATATATAGTATAATCTGCAATTAAAATAACACGATATCAGAATATATTATTTGTAATAAAATAGTAATTTAAGATACTTATTTTTTCTGACCATTGCATCAAAATTCTTTTCTGTTATATTATTGGGTATTTTTTAAAGTACCGGTAATCCCTGGTAGATTGGGAGAACACGTGTAATCTCTTTTTACAAGGACATCTAGCAAGTCCAGTGTTTTGTTGTGAAATATGTATTTTATTATTTTCTGGAACTATTTTCTTTTATTAAAATAAACCCTGCCACACTTCCAAAATATCAAAATGTTGATCCTTACATGTATGCACTCCCTCGAACGAACGACGAACGAACGACCGACCGCAGAACGAACGAATGAATGAACGAACGAACGAATGAATGAACGAACGAACGAACAAACGAACGAACGAACGAACAAGATGACATTTAGTGTGTATTTACAGGAGCTTGCTGAGGACCCAGTCTTGTTCACGGAAGGAACAACAAGGTTTGACATTGGTCAGGGGTCGGCGGGGACGTGTTGGTTCTTGTCGATGGTGGCCAATCTGTCGGACCATCCACAGCAGCTCAGGAAGGTAGGAAGAACCATGTGGGAGTGTTATCATTTCTTTGTTAACCATGTTATGTACTCCCCAGGGAGCTGAGAATGATTCTTGAGTGCACCATGATCCAGTGACCGGTGTAATAATAGCGTTTTGAGAATGAGTGGTGTGGAAATATGCGCAATATAAATAGCCTATTATCATTATTATTATTATCATTATTATTATTATTATTATTATTATTATTAGACAAAATAAACTCTTGCATTTGAAACATAAATACCGTATTCACCATAATAAGAGCCCCGATATTGTTGTTTATGTTTATTTGATAACAAATTCTATCCATTTTTTGCTATAAAAATGGTGATGCTATTTATCAGGGCATTATCATGCCCTCAAAAATAGCGTTACCCTTATATTATTAAGAATAATACATATATATCATACATATACATGAGCTGTTACTGGCCGCAGGTTGTCCAAGATAACGACTACTCTCGCCACACTGGGGTGTTCCACTGTCGCTTCTGGAAGTTTGGTGTGTGGGAAGACGTGTACATCGATGATCACCTCCCGGTTGTCTACGGCAAACAGATCTGGGGTGCCAAGTCATCCAGTGATGACAATGAGATGTGGGTCTCCATGCTGGAGAAAAGCTTTGCCAAGTAAGTATCAGCTTTAAAGCAGCAAAACAAACTGAATATAGGTTAAATCAGAATGGTCGCGCTTCGATCCCTGGGTGCAATTATATAATTTTTGTTTGTTGTTTAATGCTGCACTCAGCAATATCCCCGCTATATGACGGCTGTCTTTAAATAATCGAGTCTGGATCAGACAGTCAAGTGATTGACATCATGAGTATCAATCCACGCAATTGGGATACGATGACATGCATCGATCAAGTGAGCGAGCCTGACCACCCGATCCTGTTAGTTGGCTCTTTCGACAAGCATAGTTGCCTTTTACGGCAAGCATGGGTTGCTGGAAGCCTGGTCTACCCCGGATTGCATCATATCAAATGACATTGAAAGATGGTACTTGTTGTACCCTATCATGACATGCACTCAGCATTAACGGGATAAAACAAATTCCTCTAAATTTTCACTATTCTCGGACTAATAGTTTAGTTATTATTTTTTCATATTTTAATGATGTAGTAGTGGTGTAACTGAGTAAAATGTTTTTGGGGGTGGTCTCCCTTTGAGATCTGTCAGCAGGAGTTATCTTTCCCTTGCAAACCTGCTTTTTGCTTCTGTGCCACAGTTCAACCAGTACACATGTACTTACTCAGTATTTCTGTACTATTGATGCTAAGCAGGTTTTGTTGCATATATTTTTTAAAGTTTTGTGCCCAAATTCATTGTTCATTATTTCTTCAGGTTTTGCATGTTTAGTGCACAATAAAAGTGTTGCAATTTCATGAGCTTAAGCTAGGGCTGGGACGAGTTCGAATTTACTACACAGGTACCCAGCCCCCTATTATCTGACCCTACCCCGGTACCCACTGTAGGTCTCAAGAGATGGGTACAAAATGTCCGATTGGGAAAAACTTGACCCCTGGCAAAATGTATGTAAATACAAACATGAAACGATCTGGTCATGCATATGCTGAGGTGACTGAAATTTTATCTTTATTTAAACATATAAAGTCAGAAGGAATGTGTGCATAGTCAGAAAGAAATGCGAACATTTGTCACTTATAGTGTAGCCATAGATTTCCAGATAACATTTATCAATACATCATGTGACTAACCATGAGTCCGGGTCGTCCTGTGGGTACCCGGGTCCTACTCATAACCATCCGACACGAGTACTGAGTTACCTTCCCAGCCCTAGCTTAAACTGTAACATTTTTATGATTGGCAGTTTTTGGTAATCAGGTGTTATGTCTTTATGTACACTCAATGTAGTGGCCTATGGGAGATAACTCCTGATGGCTTAATGTATTCATGGTATGGTCTAGGGGAGATAACTCCGGACAGTTTATGTTATTAAATGTACTCTTCAGTTAGGGCGTAAGAAAGGGGGGAGTTCCAATATGTCTGCCTGCATGTATGCCATGTGCTCTGTGTGAATTAAAACCCTTGTTCTACATTTCCTGAATCCATTATACAACATCAGGTTACATGGATCGTACAATGCTGTGTATGGTGGACAGTCCAGCGACGCCTACATGGCCCTGACTGGAGGAATATCGGAGAGACTGGACTTTGAGGAGGATAATATTGATCCAGACAGCCTCTTCCGTCGTGTCAGGAATTCCCTTTACACAGGAGCATTTGTTTCGTGTACTGTTCCGGTGAGATGTCGTCATACTTTAAACTTCAAATACATACAGTGCTCAAGATAAGCTGCTAATTGTGTAATATGCACAAAATATAGCACCATATTGTGTCCTTACTGTCAAGGAGCACCGTTTCATATATCATATCGGAGACCACGGAGGCAGTTTTAAAGGTTGGAACCTCTGGTCATGTGACTTGGGTAACCAATCTGTGTCTTTGGCTTTTGGCTTCAGGCCACTTTTTGTTGCATGCATTTTTGTTGCGATAATGGGAGGCAATAAAGAAAACAATTGCCACCTTACTGACAAGAAAGTCCCAACAGTTCTTGGATTTGGATGCAGAAAGTGGGCAGACAAATATTGCTATAGTTCTTCCCTCTGTTTTACTTGGCTAAAAACAGTCGGAGAACTGACCTATGTACTTGATGACGAGCTTGTGTATAAAAAACTTCCATTGTTCCGTTAAATTGGTTGAATGCTTTATTATATTTATAGAGAAGTGGAATATTTAAAAAAAGAAAATATCTGACATTTTTAGGAATAATCATCTGTTGGTTCCTTGAATGTCCAATAGACAGTCATGCAAGGGTTAGCATTTAATTCAAAAGAAATGTTTAAATATATCAAATATATGAATGTGATATTAGTTTGAAAAGTATTATGTCCCTTTGAAATTGTTACATGGATGATTTTGAATTTTCAGGAAAAGCATGATGGAGTTTATGGATTAATTGGAGCACATGCATACTCCTTGACGGGAGCACAACAGGTACGGAAGTAGTACATTATGATGGAAACAGTGGTAGGGATATAGTACATAAAGATAGAAACAATGGTGGGGAAATAGTGCTTAATGATAGGAACAATGGTGGGGAAATAGTGCTTAAATATAGAAACAATGGTAGGGAAATAGTTTATGATGACAGTAGTGATGGTATGGAAATATCTTTTATGATACTGAATGATGAATTGGAAATAGAATATAATAATAGTAGTGATAATAGGGAAACAGTATATAATAATAGTAGTGATAATAGGGAAATAGTATATAATGGTAGTCTTGATGGTAGGGAAATAGTATATAATGATAGTAGTGGTGTTAGGGAAATAGTATATAATGAGAGTAGCGATACAAACACATCTTGGAAACATTTCAACAGTTTAGTGTGTTCACTTTGTCTATAATTCTGTCCTCAGTCACAATGAGTCAGTTTCACCTGTGGTATAACTTGTGAAAAAACATGCTGTTGTCATTCAGGTGCAGCGTGACAGCGGCGACAATGTCTACCTTCTGCGTGTACGCAACCCTTGGGGCAACACCGAGTGGAAGGGCCCGTGGTCAGATGAGTAAGGAACTGCTCTTCTTGCGTCCATTCATATCAATCACCTCAGGTAGAATTTAGGCCAGCCTTTTGTTGGTGGTGAGGGTTACGGATTTTGGGCCCCAAAATTCAGTCGTTATGTGAAAATCAATTAAAAGTTGATTTCCTCAAAATGTTAAGCAAGTAGGGGGAGAAAGGAAAGAAAAATGTGTGGATAAAGTGAGGTGAGATTAGAGTTACCTCCCTTCCATTATAGACACAGACCCATCGAGTTCGTCATTCACCATTGTGTTTGGAGGTTTTTAAGATAAATTTTTAGCAGGTTTGTATTGATAGTTTTAATTTTTGTTTATTTTTTATACATTTCAATATTTGGAGTTTGTGGATCTGTAAACTAACTTTGAAAAATAGCCTGGCCTTAGTAGTATTTTTATGATAAAGATGATGATGATGATGATGATGATGATGAAACTGATGACGATGGTGTTGATAATGACAATGGAGATTATGATGATGACAGTGATAATGATGACAGCCATGGTGATTGTGATGGTTAAGATGATAGGGATGAAAATGCCGGTGATGATGATAACGATGATGACGGCAATGACGATGGTGATGATTAAGATAGTTAAGATAACTGTGATGTCGTGTAGGAGCGAGGAGTGGAGTACCATCCCTGCCGGTGCTGTGCAGCGAGTGAACATCGATGACGGAGAGTTCTGGATATCGCTGCCTGACTTCCTCACATACTTCTCCCAGACAACAATCTGTTCTCTCACGCCAGACTTTGACAGTGATGGCTGCTCCGATTCACTCGGTGAGTACACATGCACCCATCAGCGTACACGATGCCTAAGGCTATTTCTTATTACAATACACAGCCTCTTTTCTGTGTAGCTCTACAGTATAGCCGTGACGTCACACCCTCTGAGTGACAAAACGATCTTAGTGCTAAGGTGAATGTAACTTCCATACCTTAACTAAGCTTACGACCGTCGTAGCGTTAAGGTTGTTTGGCACAACGGCACCCTGGCCAATAAAATGCCTCTTTTTCTGTGATTCACCTACTAAATAATTGATATGTAGATAATAATGCATCATTCTTTATATCCATGCTCACCTATGCATTCCTTATTCATTTTCAAACTGCTGTAAACTGAATTTACGCTAAACTCTAGGCTGTGATTGGTGATTGGACGTCACATGTAGTCACGTGACAACACAATATTTCCTTCAAAACAGCCAAACTGGGTTCCATCCATCTCAAATGGTGGGCGGACTGACTTTACCTTTATTACCAATCATTGCACATGACGAGGTAATGAAGGATGCAATATATTGGCAGTTTTAGCCATTTAACTGACCCCTCCCAAACATCTTCCTGAGGCAAGGGAATTAACTAACTGAAGTCCAGGCTCCACCCTAGCTGAACTAGGCTGGTATTATGGAGTTACATTTCGGCTGGACTAACGTGTACCATAAACCTGGGAAAGGGCATACAAACTCCTATTGCCACCATGCACAGTAAAGCAGTGCACCAAGCTCCTCACAGCGATAGCCCGTTCGCGGAGCTCACTATACTATCGCTGCCACCAGTCAAAACTATCCACTGTGTTAGGTGGCCCCAAACATGCTTGGAGTTGAACTCGCAGCCGAATGACCGTTATGTTTTCAAACAAGTGACGACCGTCATGACGCCGAATACACTTACCGCTGCTAAATTACTGTTCTTTGTTTGTCAATTTGAATTCGAATTTCATTAAAACTATCATTTTATTGATATAGTAAGAATGTAAGGGAGACGTTGGTTGATTTTCCGTTAGTCTTCAATCTCGAACCAATCTGATTATACAAACAAAAAAGTAAATTCATCTGGAAAACATGGTCAGTTGTAAATCTTTTCAAAATGAAATATGATGGCATTCCGAAAGACATAAACAAAAGTATAAACGTTACTACATATGGGGTTGCCGGGAGGGATGTTACCGAGAGTGTAATGAAGGCGTCACGCGCTGGGAAGGAGCTTGGCAGTGCGCATGTAAAGGGAAGTAACTGTGTGCTATATTGGATCGCATTGTTTTTAAGTATCAGGATTTTTATTTTTTTGGGGGGGGGAAATGGAGATAAAAACGAAATGTGCGGCAGACTATATGATCATGTGGGCATTGCCTGAGACTATTTTTAATTTTGCCAAACATAATCATAATCCATTTTACTCATTTCTCAATTTTCATGTGTCAATGGCAGTCACGTGAGAACCCTTCAGTAGCTTGGTGCTGATGTGTAAACAGTAACCAGCTTGCACCTTTGATGTAGGGTGTGCTTGTTAATTAAGCTTGATTAGATAGGCATGTTGGCATGTTGGCATGTTGTTGGAAAGCATCCTGCCTTTGATGAAATTGCAGCAATTGCAGCGAGGTCAAACAATTGTGTGTGAAGTGAGTTGAAAGTTGAAATGTTGGTTTGTGGACGTTATTTTCTATTTTGAACTGTTCGAGTCATCGAGGACCAAATGTATTCCAGACAACCTGGAATTTGATACATCCAGTGCCACAGTTCCGAGTATAAATGATCAAACTATGGAAGGAATTTATATGGACTGTAAGGTCTGTTTGAGACAATCGGGAATTTGACACATCCAAGTTCGAAAATGATTTTCAACTGTATTAGGTTAAACAAGATTTGATACGATAACATGAATATTCAGAGTTCTGACAGGTTTAAAAACGGTAATGTGAATATTCGTAGCTCTAACAAGGTTGAATAGGGTAATATGAATTATTCTACCATGAATTTGGAAATTATTTGATTCTGATTGGTCAATCAGAGGTTGTCAAATTATAATTAACCCTCTCTGATTGAAATAGCCAATTTGACAGCTGTATCACCGCGGAAGCTAATATACATAGAATCATTCTTTTTCAGTCATTGTCGGTAGGCATATCTAAATAATTATGTCTACAATTATTGGCTAAAAAATGCAAAATTGCAATTACTACTCATTCAAGTGATATGTGACGATACATTTCATCAGAAAACATGATAGAAATCTACAAAAAGAATGTATTTTCAGTTTTTGGGAGAACACAGAGCTTGGAATTTGGCGCTTTTTTATATATGACTATGACGTCATATCTTTTGCGTCAAAATGGTGACATGCAGATGTAGAACAGAAAGCTTTGCAAGGCATACTTAGGGGTGACCACCTCATGTTAGCTTATGAAGTTGCCATGCTTATATGCTTTCAATGCCCGTCACATGTTCGAGTGAAGTATTACTGTGTAAACAAACTGTTCGAGCATATACAGCGCCATATTTTGTTTATAGGCTGTTTAAAGGATGTTGTCGGTGATTCTGTAATTCACATGGACAACCCACTCAAAACACTGGACTCAACCCATGCCGCTTCACTCAGTATATTTGCTAGCACCAAAGAGTTCGCGTTAAATTTTGTCATGGTAGAATGGAGATAAACACACTGTGTTTTCAATGTAGAGCAAGGTTACCTGTAGACAAATTTAACATTTAAAGCCTCATGCTGCGCCTTTGGTCGAAATTCATTTTAGTGTGATTAAATTTACAGGTAATCTTGCTCTACATTGAATGTCGTATGTTTATCTCCTAATTTAGAGTTCTTAAACATGGTTCACTACGGTAATTGAATATTAAGAGGTCTAAAATATTCTACATTAATGTGAATATTCCGAGTACTATAAAGGTTAAATACGGTAATATGAATTATTCAGAGTTCTAAAAGGATTCAATGCGGAAATATGAATATTAAGAGGTCTAACATTTTCTACAGTAATATTAACATTCAGAGTTTTAACAAGGTTCAATACGGTAATATGAGTTCTAACTAGGTTCAATATAATAAGAATTATTCAGAGTTCTTACCAGGTTTATTATCAGAGAGAGAGAAGATTGTCATGAGGAACACAACATTTTGGAGTATATGCTTACATCCCTCATCAGATCCGTGAAGATTCCGGGGTAGAATAGGTCTTCAGCAACCCATGCTTGCCATAAAAGGTGACTATGCTTGTCGTAAGAGACGACTAATGGGATCGGGTGGTCAGGCTCGCTGACTTGGTTGATGCATGTCATCGATCCCAATTGCGTGGATCGATGCTCATGATATCAATCACTGGATTGTCTGGTCCAGACTCGATTATTTACAGACCACCGTCATATAGCTGGAATATTGCTGAGTGCGGCGTTAAACAACAAACAAACCCACCAACATCCCTCATCAGGTGAATGATTGCTAGGATGCAGAGAACATCTGCACAGATCCTTCTGTGATTGACACACTGTGATAGAGCCTCTGTTTGACTTTACAGACAATGTCCTGAGGATTTACGGCCAGTGGCTAGGCGATACAGCAGCAGGGTTCTCCGACAGGCTCCAGAATCCACGCTATGTCTTCACCGTCCCGGATGAAGGTGCAGTTTAACATGACTACGCCAACTCGTGCTTGTTTTATCCCCTTAATACCAAGTGCCAGGCAGGGTAACAACAAGTACCATCTTTTGAAATCTTTTGGTGTGTCCTTGGGATTGAACCACTGACCTTTGCTCTATCCTCTAGACCATGTAGATGGCCCATTATACTGAAAGTAGCATCTTGTATGAGTTGTATTGTATCTTGTATTAGCAATATTACAGCTATGTCACAGCAGGAGACAAGGGCTGGGGGTAGCCTAGTGGTTAAAGAGTTTGCTCGTCATGCTGAAGACCCATGTTTGATTCCCCATATGGGTACAATGTGTGAAGCCCATTTTCTGGTGTGCCCCGCCGTGATTTTGCTGGAATATTGCTAAAAGCGGCGTAGAACCATACTCACTCGCTCACTCACTCGCTCACTTGCTCGCTCGCTCACTCACTCACTCACTCACTTCGGGCTTTCCTCCCACATCAAGTTGACACTCCATGAAATAACTGAAATACTGAACCACTCACTCACTCACTCACTCACTCACTCACTCACTCACTCACTCACTCACTTCGGGCTTTCCTCTCACATCAAGTTGACACTCCATGAAATATCTGAAATACTGAATCTCACTCACTCACTCACTCACTTCAGCATGACTAGTAAACCCTTTATCCACTAGGCTACCCCCCGCACCTTAAAATTTGAAATAAGTCGCAAACTTGCTAAATCCTGTTGCGTCACCTTAAAAGTATCACTGAGAATTCACATCTTAACCCAATGTATCTCTTCAATGATTTTCTAAGCCTATCGTGGGGGCCCAGTCATCTGAGGCGTTGCTATTCCCTGTGCAGAGTTGTGTCCCTTGGGCACGCCAGAAACCTATGATTGTGGGTTTAAATCCTGGTTCGCCCCGATTATGTTTCTAGGTTTGTCAGCACCATACCCGTGCTCGTGGGTTTCACCGAAGTGGTAAACGTCTGAGACCTGCATCACTTTGGGCTTTCCTCCTACATTAAGCTGACACGCCGTGATGTAACTGAAATACTGTTAAAAGCGACGTTAAACCCAACTCATTCACTCACTCACTCACTAAGCCTCTCATCATACTTCTTTCTGTACTGAGCAAAATGTTTTTTGAGTGGTATTCTTAAACTCAAGTATGTACTTATTATCTCCCTTCAGGCATGACAGAGGAAGGTTATGTCCCCTTGGTTGTGCAGCTCATTCAGAAGACCCAGCACAGAAAGTCGGACTTAGTGTCAGTGCGATGTGACCTGTACAAGGTGAGGAGCCAGGCTTTGTACACAACTTTAGGACTGTAACGATTCACCAAATATTAATTTTATTGCGGGACCGCCTCCGTGGTCTAGTGGTAGAGGGGCGGTCGGGTAGCCTAGTGGTTAAAGCGTTCGCTCGTCACGCCGAAGACCCGGGTTCGATTCCCGACATGGGTACAATGTGTGAAGCCCATTTCTGGTGTCCCCAGCCGTGATATTGCTGGAATATTGCTAAAAACGGCGTAAAAGCATACTCACTCACTCACTCACTCACTAGTGGTAGAGCATCTGCCTGGAGAGCGGAAGGTCCGGGGTTCGATCCCCGGCCGCGTCATACCAAAAGACTTTAAAAGATGGTACTTGTTGTTACCCTGTCTGGCGCTCGGCATTAAGGGGCTAAAACAAGGACTGGTTGGCTCGGAGTCAGTATACTGTGTCTGAGTGGGGTATTCATGTTAAACTGCGGTATGGAATCTCAGTGAGCTAGCACTATAAATCGGCATCAGTCTGGACTAGTACAAGCAGCCACACACACACACACATGTGTGTGCACGTCGCTATATAAGTGCAATAATCTTGGACGCGACGTTAAACCCCATTTCACATAATGTTATTGCGAATGGGACTAACTGGATCGGGTGGTCAGGCTCGCTGACTTGGTTGATGCATGTCATTATCCAAATTGCGTGGATCGATGCTCATGATGTCAATCACTGGGTTATCTGACCTATACTCAATTATTTACAGACCGCCCTCATATAGCTGGAATTGCTGAGTGTGGGATTAAACAAACAACCAAACCATTTCATTGCGGCACTCCTTGAAATGATTAATCTCATTAAAATCAGATCTTAGTTCTCGCGACCCGAAATGGGATGTCCTCAGAGACAAGAACTAATCTGATTGTTATGAGATTGTGACATGATGCAATTATCGAATCAGTAGGTCATGTATTGATACAAAACAATGCATGTGTAATAGATCAGTACTGACATACTTAATACTGACCTACAGTATCCTGGACCATGTTCCGCAAAGCGATCTTAGCGTTTAGACGATTGTTACTCCCATACTTTAGCATTGACTGACAACAGTCGTAGTGCTAAGATCTCTTTGTAGAATTGGGCCTGGTCAGTGATTGTGATGACCCAGTACAACATGGCAGTTTCACCAACAGGTGCTTGGGAGTGATGTGAGTGGCCGTCCCACGTACGTGCTGGAAATGTTGGGTACAGAAACCAACGTATACAGCCCTGGAGTCCAGGTAGCCTTTCGACATCGTGTCGAACCCGGCCACTACGTCGTGGTCCCATCCACCATAGACGCAGCTGTGGAGAAGGAATTCCTTATAAGGATATTTGCCCCTTGTCCCTTGCACAACTGCAGGTGAGGTCATGTGAGGTTATTTGAGGTCATGTGAGGTCAAAAAAATAATTATGAGAAAATGTTTCAAATATGAAATAATCATCTTCTTTTGAAACTTTTGTGGAAGTGAAGTCTTTGAAAGGCTTTCAGAAGTGATAGACGTAAAGATGAGAATTTATGGATGTCAACTTCTTTATTATGAGAAACACAACGTTTTGGAATATATGCTTACTCCTTCATCAGTACCCTCTTCTTGACAAAGCAGCCACTAAATAGGGCTGGAATGGGTACCTCGGGTACTCAGGTCGGGTGGGTCCTGAGTAGGACCCGGTACCCACAGGACTACCCGGTTCCATTGTTAGTCATGTGATATATTGTTTAATGACAAAAAAATCACTGTTAGCTCAGTGGTTACACTACAAGTCACTGATGATTGCATTTCTTTCTGATGATACACACATTCCTTTTGTTTGAGTAAAAATAAAGCTTCATTTAACTTCAGTGTACGCATGATCTGATGGTTTGATACATGATTCTAAATAGTTTTTGCAAAGGCTGCAGTAAAACAATTCCCAATCTGACATATTGTTCCCAACTCTTGAGACCTACAGTGGGTGTCCGGCCAGGGTTGGGTACCCGGGTAGTAAATGTGGACTCGTCCCAGCCCTACCACTAAAATATAATAACATCTCAATGACTTCGTCTTCTTGTTGACATTAGATGTGGCATGTGGTTCTATGCACAATTCACAGGTCAGGTGAAGTTAACATTAACGGTCTTGCACCACACTGAAGCACATGTAGCATAAGTAGGTCTCCTCGGTAAGTGACTTTGTTTGAAATATGTTCACCAACAGGTGATTTGAACTGCCTCTGAGGCTTTAAAAATAAAAGAATTGGTTCTCAGGCAATGGCTTTTGAAAATATAGTGTGGGGCGGTGTTTGTTTTGTTGTTGCTTGTTCAAACTAGTATGTAACCAAAAAAACAGCTGTGTACCATCAACCTGGGAAAAGGGCCTCCAACATAAACAAGCATAGAAACTCCTATTGCCGCCATGACCATAACACGAAATGTGCAGTAAAGCAGTGCACATGTAAAGGGAAGTAACTGCATGCTATATTGGATTGCATTGTATTTAAGTGTTAGAGTTTTTAAAAAAAAAATTAAAATGGAAATTAAAACGAAATGTGCGGCTGACTTTATGATGATGCTGTTCTCAGGCAATGGCTTCTGAAAATATAGTGTGGGTGGGTGTTTTTTAGGGGGAGGGGTAGGGGGGTGTTCAAACTACATGTAGTATGTAACCAAATAAACTGCTGTGTAACCAAATAAACATTTGTGTCCAATCAACCTCCATACATAAATGTATTCCTTGATGAGTATAATACTGGAATGCAGTATTTGACTACCGTTGTACTTGGATATTTAAGGCTTTTTTTTCTTTTCAAAATAGAAATAAAAACGAAACGTGTGGTGAATTTTATGGTGATGCGGGCGGTGCCTGAGAACCAAGACTATTATTTTTTTAGCCTAAACTAACATCAGCTGAAATGTATACTGTTTGATACTAGAATATGAGGATTAGTACCAGGAGTGAGATTGATCTGCATTGATGAAGTCACTTGTATATTTCACCAGTGAAGTCCCCCGGAACACGACACTGATGTCATGCGAGTCGGTCGAAGTTGATAGCAGTGCAGTAAAACTCAGTGAGTACTTGGGTGGCTGGATGTTACCGGATCTTGATGTGGTAGGACTGTTTGGGATAGCTGATATACCGTATTCGACGTAATAAGCGCCCTGCTCTAATAAGTGCCCACGGCGATATTTGCTAATATATTGGCTAGTGAACAATCCCAATTAGCACTCCTTCCGATTGATCAATGTACACAAGACTTATTTATTTGCATGTAATACGCACTCGTGTGTCATATGCATTCTTAATTATGGGCAGTTAAATTCTGGAAAAATGTATCTGTCGCATATAAACATTTCAGTGTGTCAGCATAAACCATGAAATTTATCTTTCAACTCTCTTTTTTCCACCAAAATAATGTTCTAATAAGAGCCCCCTATTTCTAATTTTGAGAGCGCCCTGGCCGCTTATTATGTCGAATACGGTATCTCACAGAGATGGCATAAGTGTAGGACTCTGTGGCAGGGCTCTAATCCGTGGCAGATTCTCATTGTTATATGACGTCATGTTTGCAATGGTGTCTTATCTGTGAACGGACAATCAATTCAATTGTTATGTGACATCATGCTTGAGATGCCGTCACGATTCCTTGCTTGTGATGATGTCATGTAAGTTCAATATCTATTACCGATAGACACAGCGATCAGTCGAAAACAGTTGTGCCGGACACTATAGAAATTGAAGATTTTCTTTTATGGCGGATTCATGCCAGCAGAGGAAGAAATCAGTATCGAAAGACCCTAATGTCGAATTATTCTGAAATGATTTTTAAATTATCCAAGAAGTTCCTTGTGTAACTTAGGCTCTGAATCCTAATTGGGGACAAAATAAGTTAGGGATCAAGAATATTTTGGGGGATATTGCATAAGAAAAGAGTGTGCTCAGTCTTCACTACAAAAAATCCCCACAAATATTCATGATCCCTAACTTTTTTTGTTCAGTATATTTGCATGAGAATAGATAATGCTGTTATTATAAGGGTAACGCTATTTTTCAGGGCATTATCATTTGCAGAAGTCCGAGGTCTTCCATTAACTGCCTGACGAAGGAGGGGTTGAAAAGACTGAGGGCTTCTGCAAATGATAATGACCTGAAAAAGAGCGTTACCGTTATCATAGCTAAAATGGATGGAACATTTTATCAAATATAAAGAAACAACAACATCGGTTTTGAAACATTTACTGCAATGAACGCGAATGTCACTGACCACATTTTACAAATATGGAAACGTCATAGAACAAACCAGATGACGTCACTATTGAACGTGACGTCACCTATCCTATCCTATGACGTCACCTAACAAGGGGCTTGATAATGGCCCGTCGTCAAGCAATATGAGGGCATTATCAAGTTACAGTGGCCGGCTCATTTCTGATAACGTGTGGGCGGTTTACTGATAATTCTATCCATTTTAGCTATAAGAAAAATTATATCCTATGTCAATTTCAGATAAAACACATTTGGTTTTGTGACATAGAAATACAGAAACTGAAATTATTCATAAATGACTTATTTTGTAACCTTTCCATGCAAATAGTTTTATGACTACCCTATCCATTGGAACATCTTCGTCATATGATATTACCTACCCTTGTCACCATCTGGTGGCACATACAGTGTTCTTATACCAACTTTCGGGTGCATGGATGGCCCAGTTGTCTAAGGCACCACAATGTGCTGTGCAGGGTTGTGTCCCTTGGGCACAGCAGAAACCTATCATTGTGGGTTCGAATCCCGGTTCCTGATTAGGTCTGACAGCACCATACCTGTACCCCTGGGTTTTTTCAAAGTGGTATCGTCTGAGACCTGCATCACTTCAGGCTTTCCTTCCACATTAAGCTGACATGTCATGATATAACAGGAATACTGCTAAAAGCAGCATTAAACCCAACTCACTCACTCAATAAACTGTCTATCTGGTATTGGAGGTATCTTACACATTCCTGAAAAAAAGGAGGTCAATTTTGTATGAAGATATTTCCAAAAGATACATGGAAGATTGGTAATATGGAAGTGGTGCTAAACTTTTTTAAAGGTGTATACGTTTATATACGCAAGACCCAGGCCCATAGCTGGGCTCAGAAACATGACCAATTGCCTCATTCACGGTGTCTTGTGCGTAATTATGCAATTTTATCAGTTATTGACATTATTTAAAGTTTAAATGTTGTCACGTCTGCAGATTCTGTATTACTTGATACAGATCCATTAAAACTGATCATAATAAATAAATATTTATGACACAATGAACCTAGTTACCCAAGTTATGATACTGAATAGATGTGAGATGTGATTTATTTCTTTGCAGCGACTAGTGAGGCCAAGTTTGGGTCATGGAGGTCAGGAGTGAATGCAGGAGGTCAGATCTCAAAGAGAGAGACACACCATCTCAACCCTCAGTATGCGTTCACCATCCCAAGCAGAGGTACGGGCAGACCATTTCATATTAGGGGAGGGGAGGGGAGGGGAGAAAGGGAGGGGAGGGGAGGGGAGGAAGGGAGGGGAGGAAGGGAGGGGAGGGGAGGGGAGGAAGGGAGGGGAGGAAGGGAGGGGAGGGGAGGGGAGGGGAGAACGGGAGGGGAGGAGGGCAGGGAGGGGAGGGGAGAAAGGGAGGGGAGGGGAGGGGAGGAAGGGAGGGGAGGAAGGGAGGGGAGAAAGGGAGGGGAGGGGAGGGGAGGAAGGGAGGGGAGGAAGGGAGGGGAGGGGAGGAAGGGAGGGGAGGGGAGAAAGGGAGGGGAGAAAGGGAGGGGAGGGGAGGGGAGAACGGGAGGGGAGGAGGGCAGGGAGGGGAGGGGAGAAAGGGAGGGGAGGGGAGGGGAGGAAGGGAGGGGAGAAAGGGAGGGGAGGAAGGGAGGGGAGGGGAGAAAGGGAGGGGAGGGGAGGAAGGGAGGGGAGGGGAGGGGAGAACGGGAGGGGAGGAGGGCAGGGAGGGGAGGGGAGGGGAGGAAGGGAGGGGAGAAAGGGAGGGGAGGGGAGGAAGGGAGGGGAGGGGAGGGGAGGGGAGAAAGGGAGGGGAGGGGAGGGGAGGGGGAGGGTTGGGGGGACACCAGAAATGGGCTTCACACATTGTTCCTTGGTTGTTTGTTGTTTAAGACCTCGCAGCAATATTCCAGCTATATGATGGTGGTCTGTAAATAATCGAGTCTGGACCAGACAATCCAGTGAGCAATCGTGAGCATAGAGCCACGCAATTGGAATACGATGACATGGATCAACCAAGTCAGCGAGCCTGACCATCCGATTCCGTTAGTACATTCATTTAAGCAAAGACTAAAGGTTATATTTTGTCAACAGTGGCACCAAAGTATGCCTGTATCACTTTATCTCAGCAATTACAGGAAAGTAAAATCATTGTTACAAACTGAAGGATATTTAACTTGTTTAAACGATAAAAAATTAATCAGAGCTTATTGTAAAGAATTTCTTTGCACAATTTAAATGTCAATGTATGTCGCAGGTCCAAAGCAGTGATATTGTGAACTCTATTTGTACAAAGTGTTCATCTGGAGAAGTATAGGATGAATACCATGTCTTACTTATATGTGAAACGTATTCCCATTTAAGGCATAAATTTCTCCCCAAGGTATTTTTAAAGACCGTCAGTTAATGATAAATCTGCTAAACTCCTGATATGATCCATGCTGTTTCTGTTTTCTTAAAACATGTCTTTGAAATGAGGAATGTGTAACTTCATTTGAAATCTAATCATGTACATCACGTGACAAATGTTGATATGCAATCTGCATTGTACTATGGGCCTTGATGCCTAAATTACTGAATAAACTGTCTGTCCGTCCGTCCGTCCGTCTGTCTGTCTGTCTGTCTGTCTGTCTGTCTGTCTGTCTGTCTCCTATGTTCACAACTATGCTAGCATTTACTGAGCATGTGTGTATTGTTCTAGGGATGCCAGTTCCAGTCTTCTTCAACCTCATGCAGCCTCAGGAAGAACCAAAGTTCCCCATTGGTCTCAGGGTGTATCCAGTAAGTGGAATTAGTTTGTTACCATGGAAACAGTGAAATTACGTTCCGTTAATCAAAATATTCCTCAGAGGGATGTTTGAAAACAGGAATGCCTTGTTTCCTATTGACTTGTCAGTACAGTTGTACCTTTGGCCTGAAACGTTAAACCAGACCTGATGTTGACTGCTCAGAACACTTACGTGCATACAAAGTAACCAGGATTCATCAATACTGACAGTTTTTGTGGGAATGCATCTTCCCGAGTCAAGGGCGTTAACTGACTATGAAAGTCCAGTTTCCACCCTTGCCAAACTAGGCTGGAAATCCGGTGTTATAGTTTGGCTGGACTTACGAGTCTATGCATAGTCCAATCAAAATCGTGTAACGATCAAGACATTCGGTTCATAAACAACATTGATTTCAATGTGCAGATTGGGTGTCGAGTGATATTTTGCAAATCTTTTCATATTTTTAATCAAGGTGTTCAAGTGATTTGATGCACTTCGCAGGGTAAGACCCTTTTATTACAGCGTCTTGATTATCCATCAGATCATCTTTACTGGACGCCACTATTTTGCTTGCAAGTGATATGGGAGATGGAATCTGATTGCTCAATAGGAGGGACATTAAAGGGACATAACTCATACCACTAGTGGCATTACGATCGAGCCACAAAATTCCAGCCCAGTTCAGCAAAGGGTGGAAACCGGACTTTTATAGTCAGTTAATGCCCTTGCCTCAGGAAGATGATGGGAATGCTATTGTCCGGGTTACTTGGGTTTCATTGCATCACAAAAATGTTTTCATTTTCAGATCACGTGAGCACCTTGATTAAAAACATGAATAGGTTTGGAAAAATAGCTGTTCATGCCCAGTTGACAGTACACCTCTTTTGCAAATCCTGCAGTTGACCGAAATCAGCATTTTGAAATCAATGTTGTTTAAAAACCGGATATCGATTTTGTTACGTGATTTTGATTTGACTATGCATAGACTCGCTAGAAAAATAGCTGTTCACGCCCAGTTGACAGTACACCTCTTTTGCAAATCCTGCAGTCAACAGAAATCAACATGTTGAAATCAATGTTGTTAACAAACCAGATGTCGATATTGTTATGCGATTTTGATTGAACTATGCATAGACTCTCTAGTCCAGCCAAATTGTAACTCCATCTTTCCAGCCCAGTTCAGCAAGGGTGGAAAGTGGACTTTTATAGTCAGTTAACGCCCTTGTCTTAGGAAGATGGTGAGAATGCTATTTTCTGGGTTACTTGGGTTTCATTGCATCACGATAATGTTTTCATTGTTTCAACTAATAACTCACCCGCCTCGACAAGGGATGAGGTGAAATGAGTTGGTTGGTTGGTTTGTTGTTTTACGCCGCACTCAGCAATATTCAAGCTATATGATGGCGGTCTGGAAATATTCGAGTCTGGACAAGACAATCCAGTGATTTATATCATGAGTATCGATCCACACAATTGGGATTGATGACATGCTTCAACCAAGTCAGCAAGCCTGACTACTCGATCCCGTTAGTCGCCCCTTGCGACAAGCATACCGGTAGTCACCTTTTACGGGAAGCATGGGTTGCTGAAGACCTATTCTACCCCAGATCAACAGGCTAGGTGAAATGGGACTTTGCGTCACGTTTAAGCTTGTTTCACTCATACGGCAACATGTATGTATGTGTGTGTGTGGCTGCTTGTACTCGTCTGGACTTATGCCGGACGCCCACTGAGATATCATGACACAGCTTAACATGAATACCCCACCCAGACACAGTACAGTCAAGTCTTGTTAAGCCGACACTCGTTTATCTGACAATCGGCTTCATCCGACACAAATGATGGGAACCGATTTAATCAGTGCTATTTAGACCAGTTAATCCGACAGTCTCGCACTCAGACTCCGACACATCCAATTTGCAACGAATTGCTGAAATCACTCATCAATCAGTCTCGTTAATCCGACAGTGATCTGCGTACTCCATGGTTATCTGTCCGCGAGTACACAGTCCCATGTTTTGATGCAAGACGAGTCGGCGAGTAGCTGCATATTTCAACGTCTGCAGGGATAAACTTGCTTAACAATAAACAATTACTGACTTAAATAAACAAAACAGGATTAATTTCATGCCTAGATTGCCTCAATCTCATTAAAATCGGATACAAGTTCTCGCTACTGCTGAGGACAACCATTCGTGAACTTTGACCGACCAATGACATTACTAACAGGAAATCGACATCAGCCACTAAAAAAGCAGCTTTCTTAAGCATTGCGGCACTAGTTTTAAATTAGCGACTTCCATTCCAGACTATGCTTTAAAAAGTATTTTGAATCAGTCATACAATCCGTAACAGTAGTTTTGTGTAAAACTTTAGAGATTGCATGATTAGAAAACATATTCCGCTAACATTGTAACACTACAATATGAATATTTCTTTTTTCCTTTTTTTATTATGTGTTCGTATCATTATCTATCGTGTAGTTGTCCAATTTTCGATCACGAACGTTGATACCACCTAATTTCGTTTATCCGACATACTCGTTTATCCGACATAATCATATGCAACCAACAATGTCGGATTACCGGGACTTGACTGTATACAGGCTCAGAGGTGACTTGTCCTTGTTTTTCTCCCTTAATGCCGAACGCCAAGCAAGGTAACTAGAAGTGCAATCTTTTAACATCATTTGGTGTGACGCGGCCAGGGGATTGAACCAGAGATCTTCCTCTTTCTGGGCAGGCACTGTATCCACTACACCATGTAGGCAGTCCCTCAACACACATGTCACATTGTTTTGGGATTATACTTGGGTCAGGGGCGGTCAAGGCAAATCTGAATCAGATCAAGTTTGTTTGTGGTTTAACACCACACTCAGCAATATTCCAGCTTTATGACGGCGATGTGTAAATAATCAAGTCTTGACCAGACAATCCTGTGATTGATATCACGAGCATCGATCTACAGCAAAAAAATGATCCAAAAAGTCCAGCTCGTCAACTTCAATTATGTCAGTGGAAGCGTTGGCTCACTCAGAAAATCTATTTCATTATTTATCATATAAACAGTTACTTTTGTTTTAATTTTGTAGTAATATCTTTGTATTTTTATATTAGAGTGAGTGAGTGAGTGAGTGAGTGAGTGAGTATGGGGGACATCAGAACTGGGCTTCACACATTGTACCCATGTGGGGAATCGGATTCGGGTCTTTGGCGTGATGAGCAAACGCTTTAACCACTAGGCTACCCGACCGCTCCTTATATATCACATAGATGGAGTTGACATATGGAGTTCAACTTCTTTATTCATTCAATGCAACATTCCAGTACAGGTGGTCCATTTTATGAAGAATCACTTGCTTGATAAAGGAACAAGCATCTATACTGGAACATCATTTTTAAAGAATAATAAAGTTAAAATGTATGTACCGTATTCGATGTAATAAGCACCCCCGCTCTAATAAGCGCCCACGGCGATATTTGCTAATATATTGGCCAGTGAACAATCCCAATTAGCCCCCCTTCCGATTGATCAATGTACACAAGACTTATATATTCGCTTAAAATACGCACTCATCTGTTATATGCACACTTAATTAGGGGCAATTAAATTCTGGAAAAATATATCTGTCGTACATAAACATTTCAGGCTGTCAGCATAAACCACGAAATTTACCTTTTAACTCTGTTTTTTATCACTTAAATAATATTCTAATAAGAGCCCCCTATTTCTAATTTTGAGAGCGCCCTGGGCGCTTATTACTTCGAATACGGTATGTCTTTTTTGATACCACAGCTTCAGTATTCTACTCAAGGACAATCATAAGGGCTGTTGGGCAAATAAAATAATTCACATATTTTTTGTTTTATTTTGTGATTGTGGCTGGTGTAGACTGAAAAAAAACCCCAAAACATGTTGCCTGAAAAAAAGACTTCTGCATGGTGCCCTCTTATCTTCAGCTGCAGAGGGAGGCCCCCGTGGACATCGACTACCTCTATGACCAGTACGACAACTGCCCAGAGACAGAAGGGGGAGACGGCTCCTTCATGATCACGTGGGACTTGAACTTGAAGTATGTGCTGCCACCTGGCGACTACGTGGCCGTAATACACATGGATGAACCCAACACGGAGAAGGCCTATGCCCTGCTCGTCCGATCTTCTGCACACCTTAACATTAGGTGAGTTATGGAATCATGGAGATAATAGTCACTTTTTTGTTTATTTGTTGTTTACTGCCGCACTTCGATATGATATACCTCCACAGGAAGTTGCATCATGTTGACATTCTAGTCAGCCAATCAGCCTTCTAAGTTCTTGGGATGATAAGCGAACCATTCAGACTAGCATTTCAGATTTTGTTACTCAAAATGGCCTGCCCCAATTTGTCAATTTCTGACCATGTGTTACAGAGGCTACCAGACGGGACAGTGAGAAGCTGAAAACCACATGACCTTGGACAAAGTGTAACAGTTGGGCATTAAACAGCTCCGTTCATCATCTTCCACATGACATCTCTACTTATAGAGGCGCTACAGCGGAATCACTCGACACGCCATTGTTGTGCCATGGAGAGTTGTCTCATGTATAGGGTCCGAAGGCACTGCAACTTGCTGGAGTTGTTTCTGACCCCTATCTGGGTTGGAATCATATATCTGAATATCTGGCTCCATTTAGCTATATAAAACCAGTGCCACCTATTTTTTTTTCAAAATGCAACCGAATAGTTATGTCTACATGCACTAAGTGCATGTAAAAAAATTCTAACCGCTTCTTGTCCACACACAAAATCAATCTTTGAACACACTCAGTGCCTATAAAAATGATTTACTATACTACATCCCTCATTCCTTTGTAATGTGTAATTTGTCATACTTTTATAGTTTGTTTTGTTTTGTTTGTTGTTTTACGCCGCACTCAGCAATATTCTAGCTATATGACGATGGTCTGTAAATAATCGAGTTTGGACCAGACAGTCCAGTGATTGACATCATGGCCATCGATTCATGCAATTGGGATTGATCACATGCGTCAACCAAGTCAGCGAGCCTGACCACCCGATCCCGTTATCGTTTCTTACGACAAGCATAGTCACCTTTTACAGCAAGGATGGGTTGCTGAAGAGCTATTCTATCCCAGAACTTTACGGGTCTGTTGACAGAAGTTGGACTGGTTTGTTTGCCCGTTTTTTGAGAAGACAATTCAACATGAGCTTAATAACTTTTTCAGGGATCACAGGATAAAGTGCCACTGACATATCACTGGTCCTCGTTCAACAATATCTGTCGTTTTATTTTTATACACAAACAAGAAAATAGGACTGACATTTCATAATTTCCAGTCAGCCTTGCTGTCTTTGAATCAGTCCATCTACCTATCATCATATTCATATTTCTATCTGCCACATGCTTGCATTCAACTTATCTATACTACTCAAAAGAAGTTAAGGACTATTACTGTAGTTAATCGATCATCACATTACAGATTATCTAGGATTGGGTGATCTTTAACTTCTTTTGAGTAATATATACCAATCAAACTGTTCATATTCTTTTTTTAATCTCATATGATATCAGTTCGCACTTTACAGATAATCAGTTTTAAATTTTGCAATATTTTTATAGCTGCAATGACCACATCCTTAGTTTTTCTCTTTGTTGTGTTTTTCAGCACGTTTGTTTGTTTTATAGTTACCAAGGCTACAAGTGTACAGATAATGTAGCCAGACTGGACTTTGTTATGTTTTACACATTTCATCTGTGATATTAATAAAACATTTCTTATACACGGAACCAAGATGTTGTTTTTGAGACAGTGTGAAAGAGAACACATTTCTTCCAAAATGTCACAGAGTGAGTGGTTGTTTGTTGTTTCACGCCGTTCACGCCGCTCTCAGCAAATTATAATCAAGTATGGACCATTCATCCTGTCATTGACATCTTAAGCATCGATCTATGCAATTGGGAATGACGACATGCATCAACTAAGTCAGCTAGTCTGACCACCCGATCCCCTTAGTCGCCTCTTATGACAAGCTTTGGTTGCTGAAGATCTAACCTGGATCTTCATGGGTACTGAGTGCCAGCTATTTTGCAACGGTCTGTTGATAATCCTGTCTGGACCAGGAAAACCTGACAGAAAGCATGAGTAATGGGATTGTCTACTCCATGGTTACGATGGACTACTTTCCTGCTTGTAATTCATTGATAAGTTTCTCGTGCTTCTGTTGTTTTTGTGGTTTTGGAGCGTTTAATAAATGTTTTTTAATCTTGTCTAGAAACAAACTAATGCACCTGTGCCTGTCACGTACCATTTATCTTACAACTCGATGTTTCAAAACTTTTGCTTGTTGAGACGTTTTGAAACCACTGTTAAGATAGATGGTATCTGCCAACCACTTGTGTAGTGAAGTGAGGTGAAATGGGTTTAACTTTGCGTCCAAGATTATAGTGAGTGAGTGAGTATGGTTTTACGCCGCTTTTAGCAATATTCCAGCAACATCACGGCGGGGGACACCAGAAATGGGCTTCACACATTGTACCCATGTTGGGATTCGAACCCGGGTCTTCAGCGTGACGAGCGAACGCTTTAACCACTAGGCTACCCAACCGCCCCCCAAGATTATTGAACTTATATGCATGCATGTGTGAGTGGCTGCTTGTACTTGTCTGGTCTGACGCCGATTTATAGTGCTAGCCCACTGAGATACCATTCCGCAGTTGAACATGAATATCCAACTCAGACACAGTATACTGATTCCGAACCGACCAGTCCTTGTTTTAGCCCCTTAATGCCGAGTGCCAGACAGGGTAACAACGAGTACCATCTTTTAACATGTTTAACACGGGTGGGGATCGAACCCTGGACCTTCGCTCCCCGGGCAGATGCTCTGCCACTAGACCACGGAGGCGGTCCCACTTGTGTAGTAATATCATATAATATAATATATATAGCCTACTGCAACCTCAAACCAAGTACCTTACCTCCAGCCAACAGAATGACGAGCTGACATTGACAATGTCCCCCAATGCAGTACAATTAATATAAACACCAGAAAATCCTGATTCCAGCCATCGTTTGTTTGTTTGTTGTTTAACGCAGCACAAGGCAATATTCCAGCTATATGATGGCGGTCTGTAAATAATCAAGTGAATCAAGACAATCCAGTGAATGACATCATGAGCGTCGATCCACGCAACTGGGATACGATGATATGCATAGACTTATTATATGCTCTAAAACCAGCGTGTCTGACCACCCGATCCCGTTAGTCGCCTCTTACGACAAGCATAGTTGCCTTTTATGGCAAGCAAGGGTTGCTGAAGACCTATTCTAACCCCGATCTTCACGGGTCTCTAGCCACCGTAATAAGTGTGTGAGCGAGTTTGGTTTAGCCCTTCTTTTAACAAGTTAGCCCTTCAAGTTATATCACAGTGTGTCAGCTTGATGTGGGAGCAAAGCCCAAAGTGATGCAGGTCTTAGACATTTACCACTTTGGTGAAATCCACAAGCACGGGTATGGTGCTGGCAAACTTAGAAACATAATCTGGGCAAACCAGGATTTGAACCCACAATCATAGGTTTCTGGCGTAGCTACCTTAATATGAAAGTGATACACACATGATTTCATTTCCGGTTGCGGAAAATGAGTTATATGCTGTGCAACATCAAAACATCAACAAGTTTTGATATATTTGACATCAAGAGGGTGAGATTGTATTTGTCATCCCAAATCATACTTACAACCTCTTCAGTGTGTTAACAATAATATCCATTGTCTAGAGTCTAAAAAATATAGCCAACCAGATTAGTGATGTAATTTGATTGTGATTTCATGGTAATGATGATGTCACAATGTCCTACAAAGCACTGTGATGCAATTTCATTGTAATGATGTCTCCTGTGGAAGCCAGTTTGGGATGATAAATACAAATCTCCTGCTGATGGTGGGGCAAATTCAGAAGCCACAACAGGTGAACACCAAGTATGGGTGCAACAATTCACCAATATAGGGCGCATTTGATGATTTGTTTTTTGTTTAATGCCGCACTCAACAATATTAAAGCTATATGACAGCAGTCTGTAAATAATCGAGTCGGACCAGAAAATCCAGTGATTGACATCATGAGCGTGGATCCACGCAAATGGGATACGATGACATGCATCAACCAAGTCAGTGACGCTGACGACCCGATTGTTGTTAGTCACCTCTTATGTCAAGCATAGTTGCCTTTCACAGCATCCATGGGTCACTGGAGACCTATTCTACCCCGGATCTTCACGGGTCTGCTTTTAATGATACGATCCATGATACATCAACACCAATCTCATTAAAATCAGATCTTAGTTCTCGCTACCGCTAAACAAAGATCTGGTGACATCCCATTACGGGTCACATCAGACCGACCTTGGGCGAACTTTGACGGACCAATGTAATGACTGACAAGAAGTCCACATTAACCAATCAGAAGGCAGCTGCTCGTGCTTTACGGCACTAATTTGAAATTGGCGACTACGCTTCTAAACATATTTTGACAAATTCTCGATTACAAATTTGAAACCTGAACAAAAAAACATTCTGGAATGTTTGATAGATGGTCTAGATTGTATGGATTCTGTCTTTGAATCAGTCCATCTACCTATCATCATATTCATATTTCTATCTGCCACATGCTTGCATTCAACTTATCTATACTACTCAAAAGAGGTTAAGGACTATTACTGTAGTTAATTGATCATCACATTACAGATTATCTAGGATTGGGTGATCTTTAACTTCTTTTGAGTAATATATACCAATCAAACTGTTCATATTCTTTTTTGAATCTCATGTGATATCAGTTCGCACTTTACAGATAATCAGTTTTAAATTTTGCAATATTTTTATAGCTGCAATGACCACATCCTTAGTTTTTCTCTTTGTTGTGTTTTTCAGCACGTTTGTTTGTTTTATAGTTACCATGGCTACAAGTGTACAGATAATGTAGCCAGACTGGACTTTGTTATGTTTTACACATTTCATCTGTGATATTAATAAAACATTTCTTATACACGGAACCAAGATGTTGTTTTTGAGACAGTGTGAAAGAGAACACATTTCCTCCAAAATGTCACAGAGTGAGTGGTTGTTTGTTGTTTCACGCCGTTCACGCCGCTCTCAGCAAATTATAATCAAGTATGGACCATTCATCCTGTCATTGACATCTTAAGCATCGATCTATGCAATTGGGAATGACGACATGCATCAACTAAGTCAGCTAGTCTGACCACCCGATCCCCTTTGTCGCCTCTTATGACAAGCTTTGGTTGCTGAAGATCTAACCTGGATCTTCATGGGTACAGAGTGCCAGCTATTTTGCAACGGTCTGTTGATAATCCTGTCTGGACCAGGAAAACCTGACAGAAAGCATGAGTAATGGGATTGTCTACTCCATGGTTACGATGGACTACTTTCCTGCTTGTAATTCATTGATAAGTTTCTCGTGCTTCTGTTGTTTTTGTGGTTTTGGAGTGTTTAATAAATGTTTTTTAATCTTGTCTAGAAACAAACTAATGCACCTGTGCCTGTCACGTACCATTTATCTTACAACTCGATGTTTCAAAACTTTTGCTTGTTGAGACGTTTTGAAACCACTGTTAAGATAGATGGTATCTGCCAACCACTTGTGTAGTGAAGTGAGGTGAAATGGGTTTAACTTTGCGTCCAAGATTATAGTGAGTGAGTGAGTATGGTTTTACGCCGCTTTTAGCAATATTCCAGCAACATCACGGCGGGGGACACCAGAAATGGGCTTCACACATTGTACCCATGTTGGGATTCGAACCCGGGTCTTCAGCGTGACGAGCGAACGCTTTAACCACTAGGCTACCCAACCGCCCCCCAAGATTATTGAACTTATATGCATGCATGTGTGAGTGGCTGCTTGTACTTGTCTGGTCTGACGCCGATTTATAGTGCTAGCCCACTGAGATACCATTCCGCAGTTGAACATGAATATCCAACTCGGACACAGTATACTGATTCCGAACCGACCAGTCCTTGTTTTAGCCCCTTAATGCCGAGTGCCAGACAGGGTAACAACGAGTACCATCTTTTAACATGTTTAACACGGGTGGGGATCGAACCCTGGACCTTCGCTCCCCGGGCAGATGCTCTGCCACTAGACCACGGAGGCGGTCCCACTTGTGTAGTAATATCATATAATATAATATATATAGCCTACTGCAACCTCAAACCAAGTACCTTACCTCCAGCCAACAGAATGACGAGCTGACATTGACAATGTCCCCCAATGCAGTACAATTAATATAAACACCAGAAAATCCTGATTCCAGCCATCGTTTGTTTGTTTGTTGTTTAACGCAGCACAAGGCAATATTCCAGCTATATGATGGCGGTCTGTAAATAATCAAGTGAATCAAGACAATCCAGTGAATGACATCATGAGCGTCGATCCACGCAACTGGGATACGATGATATGCATAGACTTATTATATGCTCTAAAACCAGCGTGTCTGACCACCCGATCCCGTTAGTCGCCTCTTACGACAAGCATAGTTGCCTTTTATGGCAAGCAAGGGTTGCTGAAGACCTATTCTAACCCCGATCTTCACGGGTCTCTAGCCACCGTAATAAGTGTGTGAGCGAGTTTGGTTTAGCCCTTCTTTTAACAAGTTAGCCCTTCAAGTTATATCACAGTGTGTCAGCTTGATGTGGGAGCAAAGCCCAAAGTGATGCAGGTCTTAGACATTTACCACTTTGGTGAAATCCACAAGCACGGGTATGGTGCTGGCAAACTTAGAAACATAATCTTGGCAAACCAGGATTCGAACCCACAATCATAGGTTTCTGGCGTAGCTACCTTAATATGAAAGTGATACACACATGATTTCATTTCCGGTTGCGAAAAATGTATGTTATATGCTGTGCAACGTCAAAACATCAACAAGTTTTGATATATTTGACATCAAAAGACAAGAGGGTGAGATTTTATTTGTCAATCCAAATCATACTTACAACCTCTTCAGTGTGTAAACAATAATATCCATTGTCTAGAGTCTAAAAAATATAGCCAACCAGATTAGTGATGTAATTTGATTGTGATGTCATGGTAACGACGACGCCACAATGTCTTACAAAGCACTGTGGTGCAATTTCATTGTAGTGATGTCTCCTGTGGAAGCCAGTTTTGGATGATAAATACAAATCTCCTGCTGATGGTGGGGCAAATTCAGTAGCCACCCACAACAGGTGAACACCAAGTATGGGTGCAAACAATTCACCAATATAGGGCGCATTTGATGATTTGTTTTTTGTTAACGCCACACTCAACAATATTGAAGCTATATGAATGCGGTCTGTAAATAATCGAGTCTGGACCAGACAATCTAATGATTGACATCATGAGCGTGGATCCACGCAAATGGGATACGATGACATGCATCAACCAAGTCAGTGACGCTGACGACCCGATTGTTGTTAGTCACCTCTTATGTCAAGCATAGTTGCCTTTTACAGCATCCATGGGTCACTGAAGACCTTTTCTACCCCGGAACTTCACGGGTCTGCTTTTGATGATACGATCAATGATACATCAACACCAATTTCATTAAAATCAGATCTTAGTTCTTGCTACCGCTAAACAAAGATCTGAGGACATCCCATTACGGGTCACGTCAGACCGACCTTGCGCGAACTTTGACCGACTAATGTAATGACTGACAAGAAGTCCACATTAGCCAATCAGAAGGCAGCTTTCTCGTGCTTAACGGCACTAATTTCAAATTGGCGACTACGCTTCTAAACATATTTTGACAAATTCTCGATTACAAATTTGAAACCTGAACAAAAAAACATTCTCGAATGTTTGTTTAGCGGTAGCGAGAGCTAAGATCTGATTTTAATGAGATTGTACCAACACATGTATAGATTCATGTCCTAATTCTTCTGACATCCTGGGTGCTTGTTTAATAAAGTTACAAGGCAAAAAATAAGGCTTGTTTGAATCTCATTTATTGGTATGATCAGTCTTAAACATACCAAGAAGATGGTTGTGACAGACCAATGATAATCAGGGAAAATCTGTGATTCAAGCCGATGATCCCTGTATCTCAGAGGTTGAAAGAGATGCAATTCTGAGTCCGCTGTGTCTTCTAGCATAATAAGAAGTTAGACTTGTCTGAGTCATAATAAATAGAATGATCAGTCTCAAGAAGTGTCTACAGCCAGCCATTAACATGGTACTGCCATTTTGAGAAAACACACAGATCGCAGGCACCAGTTCACAAATTGCCTCTTCGTAAAGTTTTCCAAGCACTTGTATTTTTCATCGGAAACTTGTGTGTAGAGACATTCCTGCCTGTCCATTAAGTGGTGCTAGAGGTTCTGCTTGGTGAGGAACTGCGCCCTCTGTCTGTGTGTACAACAAAGGGACATAACCCACTCTGCCACTAGACCAAACCTGTGAACATCAATTTCAAAACATTCAAAACTATCCATATTTACTCCACAAAAACAGAACTGCAAACACATCTAAATTTAATGCCATTATACTAAGTAACAGAAGAATTGGTTTTGTAGTGATCTAATCCATGTTTTGACAATGAAACTGTTGTTCTAGTCCAAATCTGACAATAACTGGTGATTGATTGAACTATTGCTGTGAAAATAAAGAAACTTGTCTGATAGAATGAGGCTTGTTTCGACTACTTACAACAGATAGAAGTGCCCCTTGATCAAACTTGGGCTTGAAGCTGATGCAGTGAGCAGTTTCACTGTCCTGTCCCCTCACCAACCCACTGGAAACACAAAGGAGAATTAAAACATCCAGTTGTGTGTGACATACCATAGTGTGTGAGGTGTGTGTGCCCCGACAGGATGTGTGCGTAGAGTGTGACCTGCCCTGACAGAATGTGTGACCTGCCCTGACAGAATGTGTGGGAAGTGTGTGACCTGCCCTGACAGAATGTGTGGGAAGTGTGTGACCTGCCCTGACAGAATGTGTGACCTGCCCTGACAGGATGTGTGACCTGCCCTGACAGGATGTGTGAGTAGTGTGTGACCTGCCCTGACAGGATGTGTGAGAAGTGTGTGACCTGCCCTGACAGGATGTGTGAGTAGTGTGTGACCTGCCCTGACAGGATGTGTGGGTAGAGTGTGACCTGCCCTGACAGAATGTGTGACCTGCCCTGACAGGATGTGTGACCTGCCCTGACAGGATGTGTGACCTGCCCTGACAGGATGTGTGGGTAGTGTGTGACCTGCCCTGACAGGATGTGTGAGAAGTGTGTGACCTGCCCTGACAGGATGTGTGAGTAGTGTGTGACCTGCCCTGACAGGATGTGTGAGAAGTGTGTGACCTGCCCTGACAGGATGTGTGAGTAGTGTGTGACCTGCCCTGACAGGATGTGTGAGAAGTGTGTGACCTGCCCTGACTGAATGTGTGAGAAGTGTGTGACCTGCCCTGACAGGATGTGTGAGTAGTGTGTGACCTGCCCTGACAGGATGTGTGAGAAGTGTGTGACCTGCCCTGACTGAATGTGTGAGAAGTGTGTGACCTGCCCTGACTGAATGTGTGAGAAGTGTGTGACCTGCCCTGACAGGATGTGTGAGTAGTGTGTGACCTGCCCTGACAGGATGTGTGAGAAGTGTGTGACCTGCCCTGACTGAATGTGTGAGAAGTGTGTGACCTGCCCTGACAGGATGTGTGAGTAGTGTGTGACCTGCCCTGACAGGATGTGTGACCTGCCCTGACAGAATGTGTGAGTAGTGTGTGACCTGCCCTGACAGAAAATGTGACCTCCCCCGACAGGATGTGTGACCTGCCCTGACAGGATGTGTGAGTTGTGTGTGACCTGCCCTGACTGAATGTGTGAGAAGTGTGTGACCTGCCCTGACTGAATGTGTGAGAAGTGTGTGACCTGCCCTGACAGGATGTGTGAGTAGTGTGTGACCTGCCCTGACTGAATGTGTGAGAAGTGTGTGACCTGCCCTGACAGGATGTGTGACCTGCCCTGACAGAATGTGTGAGTAGTGTCTGACCTGCCCTGACAGAAAATGTGACCTCCCCCGACAGGATGTGTGACCTGCCCTGACAGGATGTGTGAGAAGTGTGTGACCTGCCCTGACTGAATGTGTGAGAAGTGTGTGACCTGCCCTGACAGGATGTGTGGGTAGTGTGTGACCTGCCCTGACAGAATGTGTGAGAAGTGTGTGACCTGCCCTGACAGAATGTGTGAGAAGTGTGTGACCTGCCCTGACAGGATGTGTGGGTAGTGTGTGACCTGCCCTGACAGAATGTGTGACCGGCCCTGACAGGATGTGTGACCTGCCCTGACAGGATGTGTGAGTGATGTGTGACCTGCCCTGACAGAATGTGTGAGAAGTGTGTGACCTGCCCTGACAGAATGTGTGACCTGCCCTGACAGAATGTGTGAGAAGTGTGTGACCGGCCCTGACAGGATGTGTGACCTGCCCTGACAGGATGTGTGAGAAGTGTGTGACCTGCCCTGACAGGATGTGTGGGTAGTGTGTGACCTGCCCTGACAGGATGTGTGAGTGATGTGTGACCTGCCCTGACAGAATGTGTGAGAAGTGTGTGACCTGCCCTGACAGGATGTCTGAGAAGTGTGTGACCTGCCCTGACAGGATCTGTGAGTGATGTGTGACCTGCCCTGACAGAATGTGTGAGAAGTGTGTGACCTGCCCTGACAGAATGTGTGAGAAGTGTGTGACCTGCCCTGACAGAATGTGTGAGAAGTGTGTGACCTGCCCTGACAGGATGTGTGGGTAGTGTGTGACCTGCCCTGACAGAATGTGTGAGAAGTGTGTGACCTGCCCTGACAGAATGTGTGAGTAGTGTGTGACCTGCCCTGACAGGATGTGTGAGAAGTGTGTGACCTGCCCTGACAGGATGTGTGAGTAGTGTGTGACCTGCCCTGACAGGATGTGTGAGAAGTGTGTGACCTGCCCTGACTGAATGTGTGGGTAGTGTGTGACCTGCCCTGACAGGATGTGTGACCTTCCCTGACAGAATGTGTGACCGTCCCTGACAGAATGTGTGAGTAGTGTGTGACCTGCCCTGACAGGATGTGTGAGTGATGTGTGACCTGCCCTGACAGAATGTGTGAGAAGTGTGTGACCTGCCCTGACAGAATGTGTGAGAAGTGTGTGACCTGCCCTGACAGAATGTGTGACCGTCCCTGACAGAATATGTGACCGTCCCTGACAGAATGTGTGAGTAGTGTGTGACCTGCCCTGACAGAATGTGTGACCGGCCCTGACAGAATGTGAGTAGTGTGTGACCTGACAGAATGTTTGGGTTGTGTGACCTGCCCTGACAGGATATGTGACCTGCCCTGACAGAATGTGTGACCTGCCCTGACAGAATGTGTGACCTGCCCTGATAGAATGTGTGAGTAGTGTGTGACCTGACAGAATGTTTGGGTTGTGTGACCTGCCCTGACAGGATGTGTGACCTGCCCTGACAGAATGTTTGGGTTGTGTGACCTGCCCTGACAGGATGTGTGACCTGCCCTGACAGGATGTGTGACCTGCCCTGAAAGAATGTGTACTTACCATGGCAGGATCTCAATGACAGGATGTGTAACTGTTTTAAATACTGCAACATAGGAACCAGCCTTGTTGTCATGCCCTGTAGATAGAAATTAATATATGTAAAATTTATCCATTAGTCAATTAACAGACTTTCCGTTACCATCAGCACTAGACAGCATTTCATGACAGATGATCATGTACTGTGTTGGGTTTAATGCTGCTTTTAACATTATTACAGTTATATCACGGCGTGTCAGCTTCATGTGGGAGGAAAGCCCGAAGTGATGCAGGTCTCAGACATTTACCACTTCGGTGAAACAAACGAGCACGGGTATGGTGCTGACAAACCTAGAAACATAATCGGGGCGAACCGGGATTGGAACCCACAATCATAGGTTTGTCCAGCTCAGGACCAAAGTACTAAATTCAGAGATCACAAACTCAGTGAGTTTGGGCAATGTTGGTTAGTGTCAGCCTAGACTAAAATGTTTAGGTGATGTGCACTGTAACCATGGTAACCTGTCGGGGATATACACAGCTGACTGGCCAAGGATCATAACCTACGTTCTAGCTCTAAATATTACAAATGAACTTTGATGCGAGGCATCAAAAGGCGTCACTAAATTTGTATGTCTCAATTAAAACGACAAATAAATTTACAAGAAAACATTCCCAAAATGTTTGTCAACACAGGCATGCAAAATACAATAGGACCAATATTTCTTTCAATCTATATCCTGTTTTACATCATGATTTTCACTACCATGTTATTACCTCCCTTACCAACTGAATTTGATCAACATTTGTAAATACACAGTAAAAGAGAGCAGTAGCCTATTCAGGCCAAATGGTCATCGAGTTAACTGTTGTGATGAACTGGCAGGCACATAGGCACAGTCTCCCTCTCATTGTTGCCGTAAATTTTCCAACAAATGTCATGTTTTCTGGGTGTAGATATAGAGAATCTCACCCGAGTGTCTTTTGATATCAAGTTTATTAACACCAGTTGATAAAAGTGGAAAAATTCCGAGACTTGCCAAGGATTTTTGCCACTTTTATCAACGAGTGTTGATATATTTGATATCAAAAGACACAAGGGTGAGATTTTATTTATCATCCAACATCATTCTTCCAGCTTTTTCAATTTGTAGACAGTAATTAGCAGTGTCTTCAGTGTAAAAAGTACTGCTAACAGCTTCAGTAGCAGAGCCATTAGTGATGTCATTTGATTGTGACGTCATGGTAACCAGTGGCGTCACAATGGTCTGAAAAGCATTGTGACGTAATTTCTACAGTGTAGATATCGCTTGATCGCATCCAAACGATATCTCCTGTAGGAGCCAGTTTTGGATGATAAAAAACAAAAACTGAACAACAAACAACATATTGGGAATTTTAAGATAAAGTAGACTAACTATAACATGTTATGGACAATTGCCTAAAATAAAATAGAAATGTATTGAGTTACCAACTGACTTTTCAGAAAACTATTACAGACCATGGTAACATGGATGCTTGGGAATGTAGAGGTTGTGTTATTTTGTTGTCAAAAGACAATTTGAAAGGTCATCCGATTACGTCCTCTTTCAACACTATGCAGGTCTTCATCGTCGATCACTTTGCTAATGAAAGTAACAGTATGAATCAGTTCCACAAAACATCCTTAAAATTTAGCTCCATACCTCTAAACAATATGGCGAGACGTTCACCAGTTGAATCCCACTCCATTGCGTGTACCGAGCCACCGATCTTCACCATGTCCCCAGTGGCTGTCTGCATGTCGACCTCGGACACGTCCGTCACAGCTATGGCCTTGTTGGAGACGCTGATGTCACTGCCTCCATAGGACTGTCCTGCACTGAATTTGATTGAGTAGATGATTGGGTCATTTTCCATGGCGAAGAGAAGAATACTTCCGTCCGAGCTCCAAGATGCAGCCTATGGGAAAATTGTTGATTACATTCAAACTTTCATGTGACATTCATCTTAATTGTTTTTATTAAATATAGATATAAAAAAGTAATTGGTTCAAGTTTTAAATTATACATGCTATGTGTGAGGCTGGATGATACACAAGGTCATCATGTGGTAATGAGGTCATGATATCGTGCTTTTCATGAGTGAGTGAGTGAGTGCGTGAGTTTGGTTCAGTATTTCAGATATTTCATGGAGTGTCAGCTTGATGTGGGAGGAAAGCCCGAAGTGATGCAGGTCTCAGACATTTACCACTTCGGTGGAATGCACTAGCATGGGTATGGTGCTGACCTAGAAACACAATCAGCGACATGCAATGAACCAGTCACCGAGTCTGACAACCTGATCGCCTCATACGACCAGCACAGTTTGCTGGGGATACATTCTAACCCAGGATTCCCATGGTGGTACAGAGAGATTGAGATAAGCTGCTCATTGTGTGCCGAAATCCCCATTTGACACAGTTTGTATACAGTCAGAATAAGGGCAATTTTTGGATCTGAACCCATGACCAGAGTAGCCAGGCAGCTTGCAACATCTGCCAATGAAAATGCTTGTTGTTTAAATGCTGCACTTAGTAATATTCCAGCTATCTCATGGCGACCTTTAAATAATTGAGTTGACCTTGACAGTGCAGCCATTCATTTTGATAGCAGCAATCCAGGCCTTTACATGATCATTGATGACAAACAATCAACTAAGTCATAGAGCCTGACCTTCAGATCTATTCTGTCACCAGATCTATTTTGTCACTTCTTTGAACCAGTAGGATGCAGAGGAATAATTCGTACTCTGTTGTTGTTTGTTGTTTAACGCCGCACTCAGCAATATTCAAGCTATATGACGGCGGTCTGTAAATAATCAAGTCTGGACCAGACAATCCAGTGATTGACATCATGAGCAAAAATCCACCAAATTGGGATCAATGACATGCATCAACCAAGTCAGCGAGCCTGACCACCTAATCCCATTAGTCGCCTCTTACAAGCATAGTTGCCTTCTTCGGCAAGCATGGGTTGCTGAAGACCTATTCTACCCCGGATCTTCATGGGTCAATTCGATCTCTGAGGCCAACCGTACGTAATAATTCAAAGTACAGCATATGCAGGGTTTTGTCAGTGATTGAGTGACTTTTTGCCGATTTAGCAACATTCCAGCTGTATCTTGACACCAGATATGGGCTTTACCTTTTGTCCCCATGTGGGGAATCAAACCTGGCCTTCCATGTGATGGGTAAACACTTTATCCACTGACTACCCTTTTGTAGGGTATACTATCAATTAGATCTTTTTAATGTGATTTTAATGTCAAATCTGTGCCAACATGACTATAAACTAAAACTGGTATTTTGTTTGTTGTTTAACGCAGTTAACAGCAATATTCCAGCTATATGATGGCAGTCTGTAAATAATTGAGTCTGGACCAGAAAATCAAGTGATTGACATCATGAGCACTGATCCAGGCAATTGGGATTATGATTACATGCATCAACCAAGTCAGCAAGCCTGACCACCTGATCCCGTTAGTCGCCTCTAACAGGGTATAAAACTCCCCAAAATTTCAGCCAGACAACAGGACTGGCTAGCTGAAATACTTGCCAGCCCTGACCAAAACCTGCCTGCCCACTATAATCATATGTTTCTCAGGATAAGCTAACGGGGTTTCTTTTCGGTTACATTCTATCATTCATCTTTACATGTGAATTAATGCTTATCATCGGGAAATATTTAGAATATTTTCACATATGAAATATAACCCGACCGTCGGGCAGGGGGATTTGAAAATCTGGCAGCCCCAGTTGAAATCAACCCGTCTCAGACGGTCGGGCAGGCAGGTATTTCGAACACTGCCTCTAACCACAAGCATAGTCGCCTTTTACGGCAAGCAAGGGTTGCTGAAGACCTATTCTAACCCGGATCATCACGGGTCCTAAAACTGGTAAATAACATCTCAGAACGTAGCTTAAACACGATATGGAGATTAATCTTACCACACAGCGCGAGGACAAGCGGGACCAGGTTTCACAGCTCCAGGTCTTTGTTTCCCACACTCTGAAATACCACAGGTCAATGTTAGATCAGCCTTCATATCCAGTGCATCAATCTCATCATGTCTCATCAAGTCAGAAGGAATGCAATTGTAGTCAGGAAGAATCTTTTACTCCAGTAGGATACCTTAATGCATGTATTGATGACACCACACTAATGTTCAGTCACAAAAATGAATAAATTAAAGATTTTTTAATAGTTTGGACAAGTAGAAGCCTGTTGTTAGCAATTGTTGTAGGCTGGGACGAGTATAATTTATTACCTGGGTACCTGCTGTCGGTCTCAAGAGATAGGTACAAAATGTCCGATTGGGAATAGTTTGACCGTAGCCCGGGCAAAGTTTTATCTTTATTCAAACATATTAGTGAGTGAGTGAGTGAGTTTGGTTTTATGACGCTTTTAGCAATATTCCAGCAATATCACGGCGGGGGACACTAGAAATGGGCTTCACACATTGTACCCATGTCGGGAATCGAACCTTGGTCTCCAGCGTGACGAGCGAACGCTTTGACCACTAGGCTACCTGACCGAATGAGTTTGGCTACTTATACCTCATTTTTGGTTCATTGCCATTGGATATCTTCAGTTCAGTGAAGCAAAAAATAATGCTGTTCATCATTTTTCAAAAGACACCAGTTCACCACTAGACTGATCCGTTTCATCTAGAAATAACTGATGGTTTTGGGGGTCTGCTCACGAAACGAGCACTACCCCACATTTTCAATATTCGTCCAATCTGTCATCATGGAAAAGATTAAAGTCATAAAAAAATTAACCAATCCCAAATCATAAAAGACACCAATTCACCACTAGACTGATCCGTTTCATCTGGAAATAATCGATGGTTTGGGAGTTCTTCTCCTAAAACGAGCACTACCCTCATTTTCAATATTAGTCCAAACTGTTGTCATGGAAAAGATAAAAATAATATAAAAATTAATAAATCCCAAATCATCAAAAGGCACAAGTTCCTCACTAGACTGATCTAAGTAGAGAGTTTCAACAAGAAACTGAAAGGTTTTAGAGTTCTGCTCCGGAATGGAAAATGGACAGGTGATTGTTATATTGCCCTGTTTTTCAAACCAGGGGGACAAAAAGATACAAGAAGTATAGAGCCCTGCTTGACCCACTCACCTGAACAATGGTGACGGTGTGACAGCCAACACCTTGGTACCATCGGGGGACCATCTCAAAGCCGACACACCTCCCCCTCCCCCACGACGCAGTGTCACACAAATCTCCATGGGAACATTCCACGCCTGTGGGCAGAGAACAACATCAGCAATTTATCTAGGAATCCAAACTGAGTAACCTCGGCAGACAATTTAGGCAAATTTGTTATTTTGCTCTAAAATTTTAAATTTTCTGATAAATTGTATGTTTATATACTTATCCTATCTCACACTATGCATTTCCTCTAATTCCTCGATCTTGGTGTGGAAACGTCCTAGAACAAAGTTTCCAGCTTCAAAACACCACTTACCCAAACACATCCCACACATCACCAAATCACCACTGTGATCATGGTTCACGCACCACTAAAATCCTGTGCGACACGACCCCAGCGCCCTGATCACCTGACATATGCATATCACTAGACATGATGATTTACAAATTCAATGGTATCTGTGTACTGAATGTGGGACAATGTTTCATTCACGGGGGTTAAGATTTACATATTAATGTGCCTCGTAAAATAAGCGGGAAATCGATGCTAATTTATATATCCCGTCTTTAGAGCGAATTGGAATGAAGCACGTCACCAGCGCATACATAATCCCTACATTTGCAATAAAAACGTGTTTGTCTTCCGCAGAAAAAAATTACATCCTTTCCCTTCAGCGAATTCAGGGAAACGAACAGATTATAACAATTAAACTTGGCCAATACAAATTTGAAATTTGAGATAAAACATCACCAGACATGATGATTTACCGATTTAATAGTATTTCCTGTTCTGATTGGCATTGTTTTTAACGCATAGATTAAGATTAACATACTAGCTCAACGCTGAGGATGTCAGTGTAAGCTAACATGCCTCACCATGATGCCAGTGTCTGTGGGGGCGGCTGACAGGAGAATGCTGCCGTCAGGATGCCAGGCCAGGCTGGTCACCGGGGTGTGGCCGGAGCGGTGGAGCACCTGCACTGAACTTGCTGATGGTCTAGAATCAGGAGACAATAAGGCATAAGGAATTATTGACCAGATTTTCCCGCGCCCCCTACCACCTCACTGATAAACACCACATCTTCCATAAATGTAAGGTGTTGTCTGACACACATAACAAGGTTTTCAACTGATGTACCTGGTAACAAGGTGTTGATAACAAGGTTGATAACAGCTGACTGACATATTTGCTAAAAAGGTGCTGATAAGGTTTTTAACTGATGTACCTGGTAACAAGGTGTTGATAACAAGGTTGATAACAGCTGACTGACATATTTGCTAAAAAGGTGCTGATAAGGTTTTTAACTGATGTACCTGGTAACAAGGTGTTGATAACAAGGTTGATAGCAGCTGACTGACATATTTGCATGGTAACCTACTAACAAGGGGTGTTGATAACTGACACACCTACTAACAAGGGTGTTGACAAGAAGGATGTTGCGAAGTTAACTGACACATCTACTAACAAGGGGTGTTGACAAGAAGGATGTTACGAAGTTAACTGACACACCTACTAACAAGGGGTGTTGATAAGAAGGATGTTACGAAGTTAACTGACACATCTACTAAAAAGGGTGTTGATAAGAAGGATGTGACCTACTAACAAGGGGTGTTGATAAGAAGGATGTGAC